GGTTGGCAACAAACGCACACCGGCAGGCGTTGCTCGCCCTTTACGTTTACCAACATTATTACAAAGTCGAGTATACGTTACGTGTGGTGTGTGCCTACGGGCTGCAGAGGAGACGCGCCTCGATGTGTAAGCCCCTTGTCAGTTGCGCAAACGTGTGTATATATATATATATATATATATATATATAATATGTATATCAGCAGCAGCGCCTCGTTTGTTCATTTAAACGGGATGGATATACCCACCCGTATAACATGCCTTGGGAATAATAATGAAATGTATACAAGCATCGAAGAAGAGATGTCGTTTCCAAATTGACACAATCGCTCGTCGTTTACTTGTCCACGCGGTATTTTATATGTATTATAACAAAAACAACAACAACAACAACAACAACAACAACAACAGCGACGATGACGCCGTGTGTTACGTGACCGAGTCGTTATACATATACGTAATATCGTATCAATCAAGAAAAGATTTCCCGTGAAATGTGTATATAATACATAATACAATGTACACACTGTGTCCGAATACACGTTTGGATTAACATTGAAGCTTTCTCTCAATACCATTTGTATTTGTACAATAATACCTGTCTGATGCACACCGCACGCGAGAGAGACCCATGATAAATAAATTGATTACTCATCATCGTTACTAATCGCGCCGATGCAAAGTTTTTTTTTTTTTTTTTTTATCATCATATTATAACAATACTGATATAGTATATATCGTATATAAATTGTTGGGTACTCCACGTAGCGAGTTGGCTTTTCCCCCAAAAATGATAATTAAAAAAAATAGAGGCGAACGGAAAAGGAACGGCGAGCAGATACGTTTGAAAGAACGATATTAAGATATAAAGAGAACGAGCGGGGGCGGTCGCGTACGTATCATGTATGTATGTGCACGCGCCTCCTCCTCCTCCTCCTCCTCCTCGGCATCAGCAGTATAAGCAACTAATATACATGTACGTATATATATATATATATATATATATATCCATCCCTGGCTTGCAAGCTTTCTCGCTTCCTCGAGTTGGGGCGTATATGAAGCGTTACAGTAAAGCATGCATAATATACCTATACGTAGGAGCTACGTGGTGCGCGCCCGGATCCCCTGCATTGCCCATCTCCGAGCCAGCATCGTTACGCGTATATTTATGTACATATATACATCTATCTGTATGTGCCAGAATTGCTGCCCCTCCATCCCAACAACGTCAACGCTTCCCACGTACAAAGCTATACTTATATGTATATGCACCAATGGTTAAACTCTGGCTTCTTGTATTCTTCAGCGGCTTCGTAGGCCGCCTGCCCACACGGCATTTGTACTACTGCCGCGTCCAAAATAATAATATCGCGTCGGTGCCGCCATTTGTTCTTCTTCCTATAAGAACCTTCTTCATATACGTGTGTATATGTATAAGTAGAGCCTAAAACGCGTAGGTCGATGATGCCTAATTTGTATATATATGCCTGCCCCTACTCTGCTCGAGAGGGAAGAAGTAGCGAGGTGTACTATATATAGGAAGGGTACGCCCGGCCAACATTGGGCAGCAAGAAACCCACGGTCGGTGCCTATAATATAATGTCTACGTTGCTGATGCGTCTACCGCAGCGAAAGATATTTTATAAATTTTTAATACGTTATGAAGTGTTTGTTACAACAACATCAACGGCCGGGATGATTGTTGTTATTGTTGAGGAGCGTCAGATATCGTAGATTACGATGATGGAGGGTGTTGAGGTGGTTGATCGCCGGATGCGCCAACCCGTTGCTTATTATTTTTTGTCCCGCTCGAATGATGATACGTGCGAATCTTACATACTCCAAATTATCGGCAAAAACCGTGTCCGGAGGTTCCCTCTTTCATATATTATTATTATGTATGATTTTTGTCGCTTTAAATCGAGTTTTCCGTATACACCAACAAGTAGACTCTGGCTTTAACAAACTCTCATCGATTTTACCCAAAATTCACCCGAAACTATAAGCGAACAATCGATGCTCCAAAATGTACTCCATACATCCTTTTCGATTCGACGTGTTTGCAACAGTATGCGCAAGTAGAGTTTCTTTTTGGAAAATTTCATAAGCACTACTATTGAACGCTTGGTCGCAAAGAGTCGTGAAAAAAAAAAAAATTTTTTTTTCTATGTGGATATGTATAATAGTATACCTACAACTGGGTGATCTGTATTATGATTTATAATGAGTTATAGAAACCGCGACTATGGAGGAGGTAGCAACAACGACACATCATCGGCTCCTGTTCTCTCTGTTTCTCCGACTCATTCACGGCACAAGTTATACACTTTATATTCGTGCGCTGTCATCGTTGGCAAAGTAGTATAGCCGTGGTAGTATAATTTAACAAGTATGAGCAGCCGTCGTCGTCGTTGTTGTTACACGAGGAGAAGAGAAGACGCCCAGTAAGCACGTATACAAGCGTATACAAGCGTATACAAGGGAACGGGGAGAAAAAGAAAATAAGAAATCTGCGCACCAGAGAGCTATAGCGAAAAGACACACGGTCAACACGAGTATAATACCTAACTATATCGAAGGGGCATTTAATTCGTAAATCTACATTTTGTAAACACAATACTTGGTGTTTTATTTTTCAATTTGACAATTAAGTACTTATTATTCGCCAAACAATCAATGCATGTACATTCATTAGACCTTTGGACAAGCCATCGCAAGTATTTTGTGAGAGTAGGGGAATAACTTTACTTTATGTAATAAATTAATAGCCACAGGGCCGTTGTACTATAAAATAAATTAAAAAAAAAAAATTCAAATAAAACACGTTGCGAAAAATGTAAGGAAGCGGAAGAGGGAGGAGTATCAGAAGGAGTAGGAGGAGGAGCGGCAGTAACGCGAGCTTATTGAGCGCTTAAAGTGCGATAGATCGATCGGCGTGTAGGCATATATAAAAAGGCGCTACTCGCTACTTGCCATGTTATGTATATATTTTTCTGAGGTATAATGTGCGCAATCAATGTATATAAAAGCAAAGTTAACATGTGCACACACCAATATTGTCTATCGTACACACCAGCTGTGTGTATGGGTGATGAGTAGCGATGGTGAAAATTTTTGTAAGCTGAGGAGGCCTCCTCCGCATCGATAACTCGGCAGAGAGTTGGAAGCCGTTGTCCCCTTATACCCTCGCCCTCTCCTCGCCGTGGCTGTCAGAGAGAGAGAGAGAGACGACAACTCCCTTCCTCGTATATATTGCACAGCTGTGTATAGGCTGCAGGGGCATCAACGCATCTCCCCCTGCAGCTATACGTGTACCTACCCTGGAGCTGCCCCCACCCTTGTTCTGGTGTATCTCTGAAAGAAATATAACGCCGCAGTACCCGCGCCATCACTGCGGGCCCAATTCATCATCGGCATCGGCGGCCACGAGGCAAACGATGATTCCATTGCTTTTACGACGCCCTGACTCACATCCTTAATACCCCCCACGCAAACGCGTCACTCTACAGCCTCGAGCTCTGTTTGACTCTATCAGCGTGTAAGTATAAAGTATAGACGATGGGAAAAATTCTGGCGCAACACAGTACACACATGTGTGTGTATATATATTATACATAGGTTGTATCGGAAATCCGTGGCACGTACGGAGAGCCAGAAATGTCAGTTGAGTATACAACACATGTACATTTTTATGTACGTAATGCTTGCAAGTTTTTTTTTTGTGTAGTGGTGTACAGTTGGGTGAGTCGGCCTGGCCCCTTCCTGCGAGCACACATCAAAGAATATACCTTACCTTGTGCCTCATACTCCAGTTGTTGCAGTGTGTACGAGGAACAGTAGATCAGCCGCCTCTACGATAGTGTACAAGTATACAATACAAGGTGTATACAATACAGGAAAAAAAAAAACTACAAGTTTTTAGGGCTGAGGTACATGTATATTTTGTCGCGTAAGATTAAATTTGAGGAATATATAAAATCAGTTGGAAAACACTCACTGGTTTTTTTTTTTTTTTTTTTTTTTGCAATAAAAAAGAAAAAATTATATTACAACGTGTACGATAGGACAAAAGATACCTGTGTAAGTACTTTAGAGAGATGTATAGCAACTGCGATTTCATCTTAAAGCAAGAGAGGTCAATGTAAGTAAGTACATCAAATGGGAGAGTGTGGTAGCGTAGCGTAATGGGAATGATCGAGGGAATGATCGAACATCTGAGTGATTTGGAGCGACTCTGTCTTAATTAATGCGAGCTCGGGTTGACACGACGAAAGGCGTCGACAGCGCGAACGAGATAATAACGTGATGCGTTTCAATGATCGCCCGAGCTCTCGGTACACTGCTCTCCTACTGTGGGCTGTTTTATTTATACTTTTACACATTTACTGTACTCGACGTGCTTTCTCTCTCCCTCCCTTTTCTATTACAATACCCACTTGCTTGCTTGATTGTTTGCTCGTGTCTTTTTATGTAAGCGAATCAAGTATAACTATACTTTATACTAATGGGTATTAATTCACATTGCACAGCTGCAGCCTCGTGCTCTGTTTTTTTTTTTTTTTTTTTTTTTTTTTTTGTTCGGGTGAATAAATGTGTGTAATACGTAGTACCTATACGTTGACCCATCCCATGTACACATACGATTATACTATACATGTAACTCGGATTAGCACGCCCATTTTCACGCGCTTGAAATACACCAGATATTTCAATATACAAAAGGTATTTGCCCTCGATTGTCCTTCGATTTTCTATATATAGGCGCTTAAGAGATAGTTGCAATTGTTGATGTTATAAACTTTGACCTACGTTATACAGCCAGTATACCACATACACATTTAAAAATATACAAAGTAAACAATAACACACAGATAAACTCCATTTTCGCGATTTCGGAGCATAAAGTACTCGCTGAGAAACATCAGGGTACTTGTTACATAAATGAAATGGGGACGAGGGGGATGAGCAAAGGGAAAACAAAAAATTTGGTTATGCACACTCACCTGTCCCGGTACAAGAGGCAGATTCGCTCTTTGGCGACCTTGAGCCTCTTGGAGATGATCTTCTTGAGGTTCTCGACGCTCTCGCCCCTGTCGACGGTGATATCGAACTGTCCGCCTGTCGTGGGGCTAATGCTGATCGTAATGGTTGGATCGCTGCGGGCGTTCGGGCTCGTAGCCACCGTGGCCATCGTCGTGGTCGAGGAGGCAGCCGGCGCCGCAGCAGCGAGCACCGGGACACCACAGCCACAGCCCGGGCCCGTGGCCGAACCACCCGAGGCCGTCTTCGTGCCCGAGGAGGCAGAAGCAGCTGCAGCCGAGGGGGCCGCGTACTCGGGCTCGAGCTCCGACACCGGTCTCGGCTTGCCCTCGCTCATCTCCGGCTACTCTTGGCCACACTGTTCCTGCTCGTTCCCTTGACGCCCCTCCCACTCGTCCCCTGGGAACGACTGATCTTTGCCTTCTCGAGGATGTTGCAGCTGCTGCTTCTCCCGACTCTCGTCACGAGCACCGCACGCACATAACCCCGCGCAGGCCTATTGACTCGGGTTATTGGCACCCGGATAGGCTGCCGTTCTATTGTACAAGTATAGGGTAGGTATTCCGTGTATTGTACACACGCCGCACTGGTGCCGTCCTTTTACTGCAAGAACGCCTGTACATGCAGGCTCCTGATCTCTTTTATACTTTTTTTTTTCTTTTTTCCTTTACAGCAGGCCAGGCCCGTACCTACTATGTAACCGTTCCCACGACGCGCAGCTGCTGCACCTGTCTCTTGGTCGCTCTCTCTCTCTCTCTCTCTACGTAGGTATATATACGGCTGCCTCGTAAAGCCCCTCTGCGCTCCCTGCTGCTCGGTCGGGGCCCACTTTACTATATACGCGTTCTCTCTCCTTTCTTTTAAGTAGTACTTCAGTCCGTTGGTTACATATACACAATCAACTGCTGTACGTTGTGGCGTGTGTGTGTGTGTATATATGTATAAAGCTCAGATCGATAACCCGAGCTCCCTCGGCAGGGCAGGACGGACGCCCGTGATTGCGGCCCGGCTCTCTCCTCGGCTGTGCCGGGGGTGTCGCCGCCTGCGCTTCTGCGGCGGCTCGGTACTCCTCCCACACACACACACAGCACACGGGCCTAATTCTTTTTCTCCGTCTCTGTTTCGCCCGTGCCGTGGTATATGCGTATGGCACTGCACTCCGCTATATGCACAAGGGGACTCGACGACGACGACTCTCTCGGGAGAGGCGGTTGTGGGTGGGGGTCACGCCTCGTGATCGGCGCGCGGCCGGGGCGTAGGTCGGTCGGCTCGTTTCTCTCACCGTATACTTGTATATACACACTCTGTGCCCCTGCGGTGCAGAACTTGAAAACGCACTCGCAAAAGCTTACGTTCGGAGTCGGATAAGCCAAACACTGTGTAGGTACTTTGAGTATACAATCAAGTATTAAGGGTTATATATTAATCAATATGTTTATGGTGAAAAGACTTATTGTATATTGTCTTAATCTTTGCGGAACTTGGGGCATGATGCACTCTGAGTACTCTGACGCGCCAGATGACGACACGACACGTTCGACTGGAAACGGCCGGAAAAAAATTGACACAAACTACGACGAGGAGTAAACTTGTAACCGCGCGGCGTAGCGTCGGCTCTTCTTCTTTTTTTTTTTTTCTCTTTTCTTTTCTTTTCTTTCACCCTACAAGACCTCCTCGTCGTTGGACTCCCCTCGCCTCGACTACCAACTTTCGCGAGTGGAGCGCGCAACACGACTCCACGACTGCTGCGGCAACCTCGTTCCGTCGACTACACGCCTGATGCTTGTGCTGACGCCTGCACGACGGCGGCGCAGCTGGTTCTTTTTCTCTCTCGCTTGCTCTTTCCCACGGAGGTGCAACGACAAGCCCACGCGTCCTCTACCCCCTTGCAGTCGAGTTTCACCTATTTAATATAGTTTCGCTTAGCTTTGTAACGTTACAGGTAAGAATTTTCACTTTCATTAAAATTCGTAAATAATTTACAGTTGTATTCGATATGTAGCTGATGATTCGTGAATCGGAAGTTGTGTTTTCAATTCATTTTCTTTTTTTTGCTCTTTTTCTAATCGCTGGTAGGTACACTGGCCGTAGCTTCATTTATAACACTTGAAAACAAATGGTCACAACTTTGTTCAGTGGCTATATTATATTAATTTGACGTTTGTATTGTATTTTTATTTTTAATGGTTATGGTTGTTCTTCGTGTATTGATAAATAATTTTAAGAATTTGAATTTTGCGGTTCCCTATTCAAGCCACGGTCGGTGTAGGTAATCACCTACTTTGCCAGCAGCGGGTAAAACACTGTCTTCAATTTCCGTTTTCATGTATCATTTGATATAAGAAACATAAATGAAACCATAACGTCATATTCCTGTAAAATTTGTCTATTATTTTTATTGTAGCTTAAATAAATTTATCTTTTATTGTCCAGCAATCCCCAAGTACAGACATACATATTTACAACAATTGTGATCTACACATAACGTAACAATTATTACCTCCTTCGAAATCTCCGTATCTTGAGCTATTTTGAGCAGATTGAAAATTTTAGCACGCCAGATGTATTGACTTTTTATGCAAGAACTTAAACGCTTGCAGTCCTAATTAAGAGTTGTTATTGAAAATTAACAGTGTAGGTACATACAGCACGGGGATAAATTAATAGAGACAATAAATCTGGCGCACAAGCTTATTACTTTTTGATTATCAGTGAACAAAGACTTAAACTTCGAATGGTCGATTGTGCAAAAATAAGTATGCGAGCTTGCGAGTTCTCGAGAATGCACAAAGTGATTGCTTTGCACAATGATTTGTCAAAAAATTATTGCAGCTGGATTTACCAAAAATTATTCTATCGTTATTTGGCTAAATTTTTACATCTAATATTTGTATTTTTAAAAACTGGTTCTCTTTTTTCGATGTAATTCATTCATATCGATTCGATACGCATATTACGTGTCTTCATATGGCAAGCGCATCATTTGTGATTATACTATAATTGATGCATACTATTTGTGAACAATACAAGTTCTAACGAGTTTGCATTGATTTATTATAGTTCTAAAATACGTCCGTTTTAGAGAAATAAAATCGTATAAAGAAAAATCTTATGTACAATTCATTNTGTACAGAGTTCCCTCTAAACTTACAACGACGAACGAGTGGAATAATCTATTTAACTCTACCGCGCAATACAAATCAACCATTATTGCAGGAGACTTTAATCCAAGATATAGTCAATTTTGTGACCACTGTCCATAAAAGAAGGTGTTAAACTGATTAGTTTTTAGTAGAAATTTGCAAAAAAATTAAGTCATTGACCCCAGTATTTTATTATTGCAAATACATTTGGCATACTTTATTTACGTAGTTCCAAAATTTTAGAGGTTTTGATCAAGTTGATAAAAATTGCCCAAGCCACCTTAAAAAGAGTTTGAATTGATATTCTTACAACGAAAATATTTATTATTGTAGATGAAGAAAAGTTCATAAAAAAAGCCAAAATGGTGAGTGAAATAAAAACTCTGGTGTTTGATAGAAAAGATTATGAGTATTATGATGGATGAAGAAAAGTAGACCAAAAAGGACTTAAAGGCAGTCAATGTAATACATCGTGGAATTTTAAATGATCAGTTACGATTTGTAAAGGACACAGAAATGAAGTACGAAATAATAAAGAAATTTGTTAAGATACAATTAAGCTACATGATAAAAATGCTTCCAAGTTTGTTAAGTTATACTGGTAGTTTAATCGATGTATTAAAAGAATCTGATCAAATAGTTGAGTACGTGAAAAGTTCAGTAAAAATATGTGAATTCAAAGAATAGGAAGATGGAAGCAAAAACAGTTTAAGTACGTCTAAAACTAAAAGAAAAAAAGATGGAGCATGTTTTGAATGCAAAAAATATGGACACTTCAATGCGCAATGTACGAGAACGAGACCAAGCGATAATTCATGGGAGCAGGAACGAGGTGCGTGCCAACAACAACACCAACGAGTTGACAGAGTTTGTACGGGAGCCGAATCAGGTAATAACTAGCTGGTAACTATCTGTCATAAATTTTAAAATATTTAAAATAAAGTGAGATATAAAAAACATTGATACAAAAATACGAGGCTTATCACCCATTCACGTATTCGGTAAATCTAAATTCAACGCTTGTTTGTTCTTGAACAAAAAATAATTTTCGTTCTTTGTACAAGATGATAATATATATAATTCCGTAACCTGTTATGTAAAAAAGTGATTATTACGTAAATTGATCCTAAATTGGCATTTTCTTATAAATCACGATGTATATAGTACATCAGTTAGTATGCTTGGACACGTATTTATGAGCCAAATTCTTCAGTATCTGGCTGTATTGGCTTAAACTCATAAGATCCTCTACCGTCCATTTGAAGGTAGTACTGAAATAATTATCATTTATGGTTAAATAATAAAAAAATAAAAAATTTGCACTAGTAACGAGTAATAACGATAAGTCACTAAAAAATCATAAAAAAAACTTACCTCATGATGTTTCCATAGCGATCTTCGATGAGACACAGTGAATAAAGTAATGTTAGCTTCTTTGCAGTAAGAATACATTGAATCTTCTACATCAACGCTAACAGCACTTGTGCACTCATCAAGTATGGCAAATTGTGGCTTGTGATAAAATAATCTTGCCATCTGCAAGAAACGCGTTTTATCATAAAATTATTATTTATGTAATTGCTGCACCACTTTAGTAAATTGAGTAAATGGCAACACATACTGCAATCCTTTGTTTTTCTCCACCAGAAAGAACATCCATCCAATCAGCAACGGTATCCCAACCCTGTCCCTCGCTTACAGACTGAGTTTCTCTTTCTAGTAAATGTCCCAATTGCACTAGATCCAGGTACTTTTGTAAGACTTCGTCGTTTGCGTTGCCTCGCCTCAACATCTCAGCTCGAGTGTGTGGATAAATTACTTGATCTCTCAGTGTTCCCAAAGTCATGTATGGTCTTTGAGGAATATAGAACAATTTACCCCGAGGTGGTTTCGTCATTATTCCACCCCACAAAGGCCACAGCTAAACATTAAAAAAAAAAAAAAAAAAAAAGTAATAAATTAAAGAACATGTTGATTGCCAAATTTTAGACTTACAAAAAACAAGTACTCACTTCACCCAAAATTCTAAAGAGAGAACTTTTTCCACATCCATTTGGCCCACAAACAAGTACGTTCATACCTGATTTCACTTCAAAAGTTAGTTCTTTAATTAAAACATCGCCATTTGGAGTCACCAATGGAACGCGGTCGAACCTAATGATGTTATCCTTGGCAAGTATTTTTCCTGCTCCAGGAAAACCAACAGGACCATTCTTTGAATCAGTTATCATTGTTCTCTCGTATTTGTTGTCGTTCAAATCGCTCAAAACTTTTCGTATTTCCGTAACACGCGCTGTAAACCCTGCCAATCTCGTCATTTCTCTTCCTGCCAGAACTAATCTTCCAATTGCTTCAGCTAACTTAACTAACATGCGTCCATATGTATAATATGATTTAAACCTGTGATCCGCCGATCCGGATAAAATGGGATGGTTTTTTTGGAAAAACGGAATGCTTACAGCATAAAATCCAACGACGGTTGCAATATCTACAAGAAAAATAGTAAGCCATAAGCAATGCGCAAGAACGAATAACAATAGCACGATTCGCGAACTTACATTTTCCTACGAAATTATCTACAACACCTATCAACACCTTAAACTCTAGGAATTTTCTAAGATGTGTAATCTAAAATTCAATAATGTTATCAATACTTTTTTTTCTATTATCGAATAATTAAAGTAACATCGAGACGTGAATTTAAACCCTTACCAATTTATGAAAACTTGCAAAGAGTGTTAACTTTTCTCGGGTGTTTCCTTGATAAAAGGCAATTTCTTCAGAATTAGTTATCATACGGGAATGTATGTGTCTGTATTCTCCTTCAAGTTTTTGTTCTTTCACCGTAAATGTACCAATAGGTTTCCTCAAATGAGTTAGAACACTGCCAGCAATAACAAGATACGATAACATGATAAGTGGAGTCTGCAATAAAAAAAAATAATCTCGTAGTTTCAACATTATCAGATCAAGAGTAGAAAATTTTTTTCACAAAAATCTCAACTTACTTGGCTACCAACAGTAGAAGTGAGTCTATAAACGTAAATAAAAATATCCAAAACTGGTTTTGCAATATTACTGTATAGGTCTGTACAGCTTTCACAAAATTTATCCACATCTGTGGTAAGTAATTGATCCGGATTGGCGACTCGGGTATCCAAGTTACTCATTTTATAATAGGTGAATCCTCTGAAACACACGTATATGTCATTACGACGAATGCAACAAATATTTAGAAGTAATTTTCAATACTGTTTATTTTCTAAAGTAGACATCTATTACATAAGAATTAGGCATGAGTGACCTTTAGGCCTCGTTGTATCAATAATCAAGTTCTAATTAAATTCCTACTCGATAGAGTTCGTGAAATTAATGAGCTTGTAAATATTCAATGAGCCGAAACAATACGCGACCAACGTACGTTCTGTTTCGAATATGGTTTTCAAAAAAAAACAGAGCCATTTCAACTTGCTGTAAACCACAAGATTGATGAATTTTAAAAATTAAATGAATGAAAAAAAAAATTACGATCGTAACAAGCATAAATTGCATTTGCAAAATTCATCCAAAAAAATAAATAAATGTCCAAGATACGACACGTACGAGAAAAAATTATAAGTTGACCCGGAGTAGATGAACGCGCGCGCTTTTAGTGTGAATAATTCAAAGGGAATTCGTAGCCATTCAGCCACGCCATAGACATACAAAACTTTGAGCCCTGACTCGATTCAATCAAGGACGCTTAGAAAGAGAAGGTACGCTTACAAGGATGTGTCTGGGGCCTTTAGCGTGGAGTACACGGTAATAAGGCTTGAGGATGCGAAAAAATGTTGGACAAAGTAAGCTATTTATAGCCAAGTCAACTCTTCACTTACTTCAAATATTGGTCCAGCAGATGACGACTTATGTTGGTTCTTAGCCTAAGTTTCATTTCTCCAATACTGTACTTTAAAATATTATTCACAACAGATAACTGAAATTGAAAAATTGATTCAGCAAGTTATAAGACGTCGTAAAAAAATTTATCGATGACATGTTTGCACATGAATAAGAGTGCTTTTTTTGAATTTGGTTTTACTAACCACAGGCAATGTAGCCATAAATCTGACCAATCGTTTCTTAAACAATGCCGAATCCATATTGACTATGGAGCTGGAATAAAGAAAACACAATAAGGATATCGTAAAACTGACTGCAATTAATAAAAAAAAAATAATAATAATAATTTGACAGAAAGAAGAAACAAATTATGGAACTTACGTCTCAATAAGTGTGCCATTGTTAATGAGCCAGAGATCGCAGAAGGATCTCGCAACAAGGGAGGCCGCAACCAAGAAAATAAAGCCGGACTCGGCCGAAACGAGTCCGGGTATGCCAATGGCCAGGAGCTGTCGCAACTGCTTAAAGAACTCGCCGTCCACGTGAGCCTTGGGCCGCTTTGGTTTTTCCTGTACAAATGCGCATATTATACATCGTTATGATAACTTACAGCAGACAAAATTAAAAAAAAAAAATATGACACCTGACGAAGACAATTATAAACCGCTCATGCAAAAACAAAAAAAAACAAACAAACAAACTTACTTACCTCTTTGATGAGATACTGTACGTCATTATTGGTAGGCCACTGGTTTCTGTAAAAACGAAAAAAAGAAATATGGCAAATGAAGCACATAGAAAGTGAAGTAAAAGAAAAAGCATCAGTAACCAAGCGAGTCGTATATTTTTTCGTGAGCAAAAAGAGAGCAAGCAATCGGAGTAATAATTATCCACACTGCCTCATAGGCGCAGCGATAGAGAGAAGCAATATAAGATTTAAGAGAGTGACTCGTGAAAATGTTATAGCTGTTGAGCGACGTGCGTTCCCGAAGAACACACATATTATTATATTGAAGTGCATTACACACGACATATCAAGCGCGCATGCAGGTGCAAAAAAAAAAAAAAAAAAAAAAAAAAAAAAAAAAAAAAAAAAAAAAACCTTGACTTGCAGTCCAATCAAAATCTCATCATCGCGATAATTAACATGTAGAGATATAAGTAAATAAACTGAGAATGTACACAAAAACTTATAATACTTATGTACTGACTTGGGTTTGGTGAATCGCCTCTTGCCGCGCTTGCGACTGAGCAGCCAGATAAGGGTGGCAAGGGCTGCGGCCGAGGCGACGCTTTTCCTGCCGACGAGCTTGCTGAGACCCGGGGCCATTCCGCACGCAAATCCAGCGTACCTATATTATGTAAACGCAATGGCAACTCTGACGCGACCACGCGACTCACGAGAACGCTCGGACGAGTGTGTCCCGACCCGACGATGAGTGTGTGTATATGCCAAGTGCAGCCGTCTTCTATGCTCCACCTCCTCCCTCTCACTTCTTCTTCTGCATCTGCATTTTGCAGATTGGAGCAATGGAGCGCACACAGCTCTCTCTGGTCTGCCCTCTCTCTCTCTCTCTCTCGTGCACGGAATAAATGTAAAAGGTGATGGAAGGCGCGCACTGAAAATTACAAAAGAGCACCCGCTCGCTCTCTCTACTGCTTTTCCGGTTTTTTCGTTGGTTTATTCGTTTTACCCCTACACCCCATCAGGACTGTAGGTGGTGTTTATATTACGCGCGGTGTGCAGCATCTGTAATTTTCTGCTTCGCTATACTGTTTTTTTTTTTTTTTTTTTTTTCATCAAAAAGTCAGCGAATGAGGAAATGAAACTCGCGTCATTTTCGCCAGAATGTAGGCTGCATATTTTAATTTTTGTTCTTGGGAGTTGTATAACACAGAGTTGTATATAAGTACACGTACAAACAGCAGCGACACTTCGCGTAAGAGGGGGGCCTTTATCGTGATTGAACTTTTTTTTTTTTCTTCATTACGTTCATTTTACAACTTATAACAACGTCTGATGTGCGCGTATATTCGGCACGTGTGACATATATTTTATATGTAGGATGATATTTCGAAGGTGAAGTGTCATTCTCATAAATTTAAATGAGCACGATGTCGACACTGCAACTATATACAACTTTTTCTTTTTAAATCCTTCGATTCAACCTGTTCGATGTGATTTATTCACCGCTACATGTAATTTTAAATTTACAATTTTATCGCGAACCGGCGCAACAAGGAATTTTATCAAAGATTATGATATAATATCATTTGAATATTTTTAAAAGATAAGTGAAGTTCTTGAAAGATCGGGTGAATTTGTTCGGCTGTACACCTTTTTTAAACGTTAAAAATGCATACTTGGTACTTCATCGTTACATAAAAGTTGCAATTGTTGATATTGCTTAAAAAATTTAGCTCTCAAAATGAGCCTGTAAGGATATATTGAAGAGTTTACCGGATAAAAATAAAGGACAATAGATTTGGCCGCGCTGCTGCCGAAAATTCAAAAATTTGAACTCCGCGTCATCTGCTGTGGCACCGTCGTATCAAATGATTTTTGTATTTATCAACAATTGATAAACGATTCCCATTCTTTTCGCATGTACATGTATTTGGTATGATAATCGCGTTATCCACCGATTGTTCCCACAAAAATTATGTTGTTACATTTAAGAAAGTGTCTCGTTTTTCTTAGTCCAGCCTAAGTCGATTTTATAAATTGTCGCGTTAAAAAATATACTACGATGAGTCATGTATAGAGGTAGGCTCTAATTAATCATCATTGTTGTTACCGATCTCGTCAGCCAACATGCAAACATCAGTGGGCGAATATTTCTCACATACCGCTACTTTAATCTCTTATTTTTGCCGATCTTTTTACTTTTCGTTTCGTTTCATATGCTTGCTTGTAATTGCACGTCAATAATCTCATCACTGCTTAAATCTTTTAAAAAAAACTGTGCACAAAGTTGAAAAGTAAACTTTAGGCGCCACGGTCATACATAGGTTTTATTGTAGTCACACCCTTATGTTGGTATATAGCATTCGCGGAAATCGCGGATTGGATTGCACATTTTGTTGTTAGTCCGCCAGCAGCCAGTGTTTGCATCAGTCGAATTGTCGTCGAATCCTGGGACAGCAGACGTCACGTCATATATTTTGTTATAAATTTTGCCCAGGTAGGGTTAGAGAAACAAATAGTTACAATAATAATGATATAAAGATTTTACATTTACACTGAAATTTATATAAATAAGTTTCTGATGATGCTTATTACCAACATCATCACCTCGTCAGGTTCAAAAATATATGTATTGCGCATCGCGCATCACGAGGACGAGGCCAGCTTAAGCTTTAATTCGCGTTAATACATTTATATATACCTGCTCATTGAGTCCACGCAAGTTTTGCTGATTCGATTGTTTAGCCGTTTGTTTTTTAGATCAAAGGTACAGTGAAAAATTGAGACTGCATTGTGGTCGAGTTTCTCTTCGGGCCTGAGGGCCGTCCTCGGGGGTAAAAGCCTAGCTCACTGGGTTCTCGCGACCCCGGAGCAGGGAGAGATGTCGATTAGGACGTTGGCCCATCGCCTTATACACGATGGTCGGCTGTTCCTGCGCTCCATTCGACACACGGAGCAGCATTGCATCAATCCGACCAAAAATTACGCCAACAAAATACACGTTGCACGCATAGGTGAGTCCTACTGTCGTTTCCCTTTCCTCTAATACATTTTTTCCCCCCATTTGTATCATTATTTGAACCGTTTGTTAACCAGGAGAGTCCCAGGGCCATGTACCACCCACGGGTACTGGCAACATATCATCATCGGTTCAAGGTCACCTCGGCTTCCTGGGAGCTCAAGCGCGACGCCTCTTTGTCGACAATGTCCTCAAAAGAGTAACCAACACCTTAACGGTCGATCTGAGACGACGTGCCGCCAATCGACTGCTCTTTGGAGGTGATTCTGCACCTTTTTTCGCTTTGGTTGGGGTCTCGTTGGCATCTGGTACTGGCATACTAACGAAAGACGACGAGTTGGAAGGCGTTTGCTGGGAAATTCGGGTATGACATGCTACAACACGTTGTTCAGTTCCATGGCTCTTTGCCACCCTCGAAATAGACAAATCACTTTCATACTTTTTACTTTCAGGAAGCAGTTATGAAATTAAATTGGAACAAACCTCAAAACGATAAGAATTACGAGGCAACGCAAATCCAAACTATAAACGATGATAAAAAAATTGCTTTGAATAATTTTGTCGTAGGGCCTTTAATAGCTAAAGGTTGTTCAGCAGTAGTATACGCAGCTCGGTCAAAAACTAGCAACGAAATCATAAACAACGAAGAAATCTCTATAGATAAACAAAGTGACGTCACTGCTTTTCCACTGGCAATTAAAATGATGTTCAATTATGATGCTGAGTCTAACGCCATTGCAATTTTAAGAGCAATGTTTAGAGAAACGGTACCTGCTTGGGAACATTGCAGAAACGACGAATTGTCCGATTGGGAACAAAGAATGTCAGACAGCAAAAAAGCCTTACCACCCCATCCGAATATTGTGGCTATGTACTCTGTTTTTGCTGATCATGTGCCTTTTTTGCCGGATTCTATAAATATGTACCCTGACGCTTTACCCGCAAGACTCAATCCAGAAGGTTCAGGAAGAAATATGAGTCTATTTTTAGTGATGAAAAGGTACTGCGCTTGTCATTTTTGTCAATTGCTTGATTTGCTCGTCTTAATTAATTTCACCGTTCATTTTCACAGGTATGACCTCACGTTGAAACAGTATGTTACCGATCACGATATTAACAACGTACGAACATCGATTTTATTATTTACGCAGTTATTGGAAGCCATTACTCATATGAACTCTCATAATATCGCCCACAGGTAAGAGAATGGATAATTATTTTTCTAAAAGACTTAAACGACAAATGCTTGATAAACATTTCCTTAAAGGGATCTTAAATCTGACAATGTACTTCTGGATATTTCGGAAGAATCTGATAATTGTCCCACTCTTGTTATAACCGATTTTGGATGCTGTTTGGCGGATAAAAATCACGGTCTTCACCTTCCATATAACACACTGGACATCGACAAAGGTGGCAATGCTGCACTAATGGCACCCGAAATTATATCAGCTGAACCAGGTCCTTTTACTAGTCTTAATTACACCAAATCAGATTTGTGGACAGCTGGAACGATTGCATATGAAATTTTCGGTCTAAAGAATCCTTTTTATGGCACAAAAGAAAAGCCCATGTTGAAAAATTATAGTTACAAAGAAGAAGACCTTCCACCGTTACCTGAATCAGTCCCAGTTATAGTTTCAGCTTTAATAAAAAATATTTTATCTCGTAGTACTTACAAGGTAATAATTTGAATATTACTGTGATAATTTTTAAGAATGTTTAAAAAAATTGAATAACTGTTTTAGCGGCTTAGTGTCGATATGGCAGCAACAGTCATGCAATTGTATTTATGGGCACCTAGTTCTTGGCTTCAGGCAGATTGTAAAATTCCATCTAGTAACGAAGTAAGTAAAATGTGCTTAAAAAGTTAAAACATTTATTATTAAATGATCTAATTTTTTTATGTCTCTACAGATCTTACAGTGGCTTTTGTGTCTTACGTCAAAAGTTTTATGTGAGAATTACAACATTTCAGAAAAAAGAAATAGCATGACCGATCAAGAAGAAAAATTACGAAAAATTGATTACCGACGTTCTCTATCAACAAGATTCTGTGGTCGACGAACAATGCCAGAATACCAATTGATTGCGTGCTTTTTGGGAAGAGTAAGTTTGTATAATGTCCGCGAAAGTTTAAAGTGGATACAAAAGAATATTTAAAATTTCGTAAGAATTTATAAAATGGCTATATTAATCTTTGAAAAAATTCTATGATTTATAAACTATCTATTGTGTAAATACTTTTAAAATTATTGTGTTTTAAATATCTCTTTTACTTTACTCTGATTTTTAATTTTATCAAAGATTATTTTTGATACTTAAAGAAGCACAAATTAAATTATAACTCGTTTATTTTATTTATAAAGAGATTAAAATGTACGAACATTCGATTCATTGAATTTCACTGGATTGAAATTCTTTTTTGCGATTCAGTCTTTTTCAGAGTATTTTATGTCACTAAATACTTAGTTATACAATAATTAAGTTTGTGGTTTGGAAACGAGAATTTTCTGCTGTTGCAGCTGATTCGTATTTAACATTATCGTATCGTTACGTACAGAAACGTGCATTCTGCACTTTTATCTACGCAGATGAAAGTAATTGTAATTAAAAGTACCATCATGATGTTGTAAATATAAAATATTTTTCGTTAAATTGTATGAAAGTATTACAAAAATAAATTTGTAAATTGCAAAGATGTAAGTTTACTTTTTTTTATTGATTACCAGTTAAGTCCTATCCTTTTTTTTAATGGCGAATCATCGCCAGTATCGTACCAAATAAACTCGATTGCTCATTAGCAAAATTCTGACAAAACAAATTCTAATATCTGTTGTAACTTTTTTTCATGTCAAATATTTTTGCTTCGATTAATTTGTGACAGTAATAACAAGAAACTGGATCCACTCTAAAGTAAGCAACAATAACCCTGCATTTCCGGTACTTATATATAATACAAATGAAAATATTTGCCAGAGTAAATAAACCATTTTTTAACGCAGGTTTTTTTGTATTCCCGCACTTGCAAGCAAGACCATTTTGGAAATGGAAAATTTTCACATCACAACTGATAATTACGGTAACCTAACAATATCGCCGACTGATTACGGTTCATGGGATAACGATTCTCCGAATACGAGTTGCTCCATGAGCCAGGCGTTTTTTTCCGAAAACTGCGAATCGTGTAGCGATGGCACTCGAAATTTAATATTGAATGGGGATTATTTACGTGCGAAAATAGGGTATGTATGCTTACTCACACAAGAGTAAAGTCAAAGTTTGATGCTTAATCGACCTTTTTTTTTGTTTTCCTATTCGTCACAGCCGACGTTTTAAAAACTGGGATGTTCCGTACTTGGCAATATTTTTGGCCAACAATAAAAACGTGGTTAAACTGTGCTTAGCAAACAACGTCATCGATTCTGCTGGTTTCATCGGTTTAATCACTCATTTACTTGTAATCAGTGTTTTTTGTTTTTATTTTAACTTGTTATTACTATTTCCATGAAACAATGATTTGTAGGTGCACGAGTACGTTCAAGAATTAGATTTGCGCAACAATCACATAGGCGACCCTGGAATAAATTTCATGTACTACAATAGAGACAAATTAAAGTTAAAAGTCCTTCGATTGCGCGGAAATGAAATTGGGACGCGAGTACGGAGTCACTTTATCGCAAACAATAACCCATGAGATCATATATTACAATATACATACCCGATGAAAATGACCTTTCAGAATGGCACAAAAGTTGCGCTGACGGTAGCGGACAATAAATTCATTCAACACCTGGACGTCGCCGAAACGAATCAAAACGAAAGTAGCTTGATTTATTTCACGACTGTACTGAGATCGGATTTGGGGTTCGACAACAATCTCAAGATTCTTGACTTGAGCCGACCCAGTCCCAAGTGCGCGTATTCCAAAGCGGACGGTCAGCATGTCGCTGAAACCATTGGAATCGCGTTGCGAGTAAACAAAATTCTTATTCTCATGCATACCGGTACTCTACGTGTTTCAATGAATTTGGAATCTGTTTTTGCGCAGTACAACGCAACGTTGGAAGAATTGCATTTGCAAAAATTTAGCTTCAGTTGTCACGACGTGGAGGACATGCTTCGAAACGCTGGGCACAACAGGACTCTGAGGCTACTGGATCTGCGTTGCAATAATATTGGAGACCATGGGGTCGGAGTTTTGTCAAAATGGCTGAGAAATTGCTGTCCCCTTCACTCATTGTTACTGGGCCACAATAATATTTCCAATCACGGAGTCAGGCACGTGCGTGGAAACTTTTTTTTTTGTTCTTCCATTTCGTTACGTTTTTTTGGTAATTATAGGGCGCTGAGCGAAACCGTGCCGTTTTCAAAGTTGACGAGACTTGATCTGTCGCACAACAGATTCGACGATATGGGCGCTGTTGAACTTTTCAACGCGATTTTTAAGCTTCCGTTGATTAAGCATATTAGAATTTACGGTAACAACATCGGATCGCTAACAGCAGAGGTACTTGAAAACGTTTAGTGCTTTTTTGTCTTCTTTAACTTTTACATGGGTATATTTTTGTAGGTGATCGAGAAACTGTTGGAATTGAATATTTTTGAACAGAAAAATATTGATTTGAAGGTGTACAGAGTCGATGGAATACCATGTTTGGCTTATTACGAATGTGACTGAGAAAATTTTGTTTTAATTTAATAAACATAACGTTGAAACGCAAGGCTGGCAAATAATTGTTTTCTCACAGAATTTTGATGGAATCTATTGATCGATCGAGTATAGTGTTTCAAAGGTGTGAATGTATATTTTGTTTTTAAAACTTTATAAATGTTTTTATTTACAGTAAGAGTTTTTCACAATTACTTACAAAGTCAGAGGCACTTTGGTAATTTAAAAGCGTTTTGCGCAACTTTTTCATGTGGCTTATGGCAGTTTTATGAATTTTCGTCGTCTTTTTTTTATATCTAGCAGCTGTTATCATTTTCTCAAGCGTGTAGTCCAGCCACAAAACATTGGTATGCGGTTTGAACTGTTGCCAGTCGTTGCTAAAATTCACAAGATGATGTATATTATTCTCGATAAGTAACAAAACTCGGCAATAATTTAAATTTTTACTTTAAATCGACTTACTTCACGCTATCCCTCATCATTCTGTATATGTCAAACTGATATTCCCCTTGAGCTGCAAATAGTGTAGGATCCAATGCCAGATCGTTAAAGATTTTACAGCCCTTGTACGACATTCTAGACAACGTAAAATCTATCACAGAAACCTGAAATCATTGCGCATTTGTGGTTTAATCATTTTCGTTAACGATCAAAAAATCATCCAACATTATTTCAATTCACCTTGACACCTTTAGTTGGAAGACTTATCTCGTCATTGTTCAACTTGAAACTTAAATTTTTTTCTTCCGTTTTGGATATAAGAACGTTGCCCCAATGTAAATCTCGATGCTCGAACTCGAGTGATTGTTCGGCGACAGCTAAGCTGTATGAAATCTGAACAAGAAAAAAAAAACTTTAACTTATAATCTGCAAGTGATAAAGGATAAATAGAAGTTGTGTACCTGAAGGAAAATCGAGTACGACTCTGCAGCGTTTTGAAAACGGTAAACTTCGAGATCTTGTCCACCGTGGGCAAGTTCAAGAATAATAAACAATTGTTCGTCGCCAAACATAGTAGGACAGTCATTTTCGGATTTTTTCTCTTTGTCGTATACATTCCACAAATCAACTAATTTGTTGGGATATTTTCCAATGACGCACATTATTCTATTAACTCCGACAAAACCGTTTGTGTTGTGAATATCACCACGTCTGAGTTCGTGCAATTCTCTGCGATGAGAAAAAAATTAAACGTAAAGATATTTACAAATGTTCATTTGTACCAAATAAATACGTACTCGGATATTATGATTTCCGAAAGTATTTCGTGAAACTTTTTCTGTGGTTCACAATTCACCAATTGATCGCCTTCGATGGGTATAATTTTTATCACTGATTTCACGTCATCCTTATCATGCAAAAATACTTCGCCATAAACACCTTCACCAATTTTACGGCAATACTCTATGTAGCTGAAATTTTTGCAACGACTTCGATAAGTATACTTTCTTTGGTCGATTATAAAAAAAAAANTAAGCAATGCTCTCTCTTATGTCGTTAAATTCTTTATTCAAACGATAAAAAAGAATCATCGTAAATTATTCTAAATGTACACTTCACATCGACTTTTTTTACGAGATTATGATTTACAACTTCTTTATTATTATGACTCATTAGGTAATAATTATAATTTTTTGGTTTACTTAAATTTTGCATATTTTTGTCTGCACACGTTTTCTATTTAGAGTATGCAAAGACATTCTGCTCTATAAGTGTCTAAAAATATTGAAAATTAAAAAAAAAAAAAATCCAAGTTTATGAAAAATCGTTTGAAAAATTGCAACGCACTCAGAGAAGTTTTCCTTGAGATTGAATTATTTCTGGAGCTGAGTCGGTTTGAGTTAAAAAAGTCATCAGTGAGCGTTGACCTTTTCCCACTTGGGATGATTCGTATGGAAAAACGCTTCGAGAAGCGCGTGGGGCTAAGCGGAATCGACGAAACCCGATTTTGTAAGACCGTAGGGTTTATTTTTCCGTCACTTTCTCTGTCGCCGTCTTTTTGACCATTTCCTAAAGTCGGTATAAACATTGTTTCACTCGTTAATGCCTTCGATATTTTTTATCCACTACACATATGTTTATTAATTCTCGATTTTCGTAATTTAATTTTTACCTACTAATAATTGATATGTACTTTATTAAGATATTTGCATTCCGTGTGAATAAATAAATAATACTATATGTATATCCTATACATATGAAAGGTGACTGATACAGTTATCAGCAAAACAAAACATGTAATGAAAGCATTGGATAGTTAGATGTTAAAATTTTTTTTTTATATTAGCATAATACTGGTGATCAACATCGCACAAAGTTGAATTTACTCAGAATGTTAAGCATTAGGGCAACCCTAAACATTTTATATAAAAAATATACGATTTGTGTGTAATTGTAATTTCTAATTTTATGAAAAGGCCCTTCTATAGAGCTATAGTACTTAATAAATAAATAAGAATTATTGTAATAATGATAGAAATAAATTTAAAGTGAGTACTTACCGTCCGGCTGCATGTTCAAAATAGTTTGAATGCTCTGCGTCCAACTTTTGCCTCTGCCAATCGCCAATTCATCCAAGTGTTGTTTGTTGTGGAAGTTATTAATAATTGACAAAGATCTTGCCCACGATTTTCCAGACTTCAAAAAAACTGCTCGATTTTCAAGAGATTTTATATTATTGTCATACTCGTCGTTCGTCAAAGCTTTTTCATCCGAATGTTTATTGGTAACCGAAATTTTTGTGCCTAATGATTTGATTCTGCTCGTCTTGGATTCATTAGTATCACCAAAAGAAGGCTCAGCTACGTTCTCAGCAATCGCTTCTAATGATTTGTCCAATCTCTTTCTCACGACCCTTCTTTGCGTTACTTTCACAAAACCTTTCATTTTTAAAAGATTCGCACGTAGTTCTAGCTCGCTGCCATCCATATCAAAATTATTATTCTTTTTTGGATCATTTGCCGAGTCGGCTGACGAAATACTTTCCATTGAAGCATTAGGGCTTTCTTCAATCGGTAAATTGTTTTCTTGACTGCCTAATTCACGGTCCTTGTTAGATTGGCTGGACAACCTACTAGATTTTCTTTTGGTGTTGTTCAGTTGCTTCTCATTCGAAGGCGTTCTGGACCTGACCTGCAGTTTGTTCTTAATATCATCATAGTTAAGTTTTGGTAAGAGTACAAACAATTTTTTAGGGCAAAGATCGACGATGCTTTTAATCTCTTTTACACATTTGTCCAAGCTTTCTTGACCACCCATTTTTGAAACGTCCAGGACTACTTTTTCATTGCTTATTTTGCTACTTGAAGTGTCGTTATTCCTGTCATCACTGGAAAACTTACTTGTCTCAGTCTGATCAAGTGTACAATTTTTGAGAATTCCTTCTTCACTCATACTTTCTAAAACGTTTTCTATTATTGTATCGTTTATAACTTGACTTTTTTCTGAAAACTTTGACGCGGACTGCAAAGAATTGTCACAACTTTGTTCAAAATCGTTTTCTATACTTTTTGATGTAACAGTTTCTTTTTCAATGCTTTTACTATCCATACTGCGTTCGATACTAAGGTTTTGTTTGTCTAAACTACTCGCATTTTTTGAGCTGATACCACTTGTCGAATTCTCAAAATCATTATCTTTATCCTTTGTGCATGATGTGTTCGGTATATCTTCTACATTTTTTGTGGTACTTTCTACTACTTGTTTGTCATCTTTTTTTTCCGCGTAATACTCATATGACGAATTGTAATCATTAGTCCAATCATCAGGAATGTACGAAGACTCATAAAATCTTGGGTTCATTTTTTCACCAGAGTCTTGATTTTCAAGAATCTTAATATTTTCAACAGAACTATCGAATGATATTTTAATAGTATTGAATGGCTTTTCAATATTTTTAAGAGAACTTGCAGTACTAATATTACTTTTATTGCTGTCATTAGTAAGCGTGTCTTCAAAAAGTAGTGGAGAATCTACAAAACTTTTTGGATTGATCTTGTTCCCATTGACAGACTTGGTAAAATTCACGGGCATTCCAGAATAATCATTTTCACGGCTGCTAAATAGCGACTGAGAAATATTTGAGAGATTCATGCTTTTTTCTACTGCATTTCTGTTTTCTGTGTTTATACTATTTTTTAAAGGGCTACCTCGACTATGACTATTTTGTGATACTTTATTTAAAGCAATGGGAGATATATTATCCAAACAAACATTTAATCTTCTATTCTGAAAGGGTGTACTGGTAAGATAATCTGTATGTTTCCATGATTCAGGAACCTTTAAAAAACTATCATTGGATTGGGATACATTTTCTTTATCTGCTTTGTTCTCCGCAGTGCTTACTTCATTGTCAATAGTGTTGGTGCCTAATTTAAATCTTTGTAAGGGAACTGTACATTTTTTTAATTTAATGTCATTTTTACTTTCCTTGGTATGAGATAATTTTCTCTTTTTCTTGGCACCTCCTGCTTTTCTTTCAACAAAATAGGGTGCTTCCTCTTTATCACTATCTGGAACATCGGTGTTACAAGTCTTACCATCATCACTGCTGTCAGAATGAAGTCTTTTCCGTTTGACAGTATTATTTTTATCAGAAATGCTATTTTTATCTGTATTCTGTTCCTCTTCATTGCGATTCTCATCATACTTTAAAGTCTGTTTGTTTTTCTTACCATAACTTTTCTGAGTCTGCCGAGGGACTTTAAACACAACTTGATTCAAACCAACCTGGCCAACAAGGTCAACCTGTTTTGGAGAATTCTTGGACGATGGTGGTTTGCTGAAACGAAACAAAGAAAGTTCACTTGTTGATATAAATCAAAAGATACATGACATTGATGGATAAATTTAACTCACTCTACACCAGCAACTAGTCTATCGAAAGTATCGTCAAACGTTCCAATTTCCAAAGTTTTGTCATTCAATTGCGACTCCCGAATTTTACTGAGCCGTAATTTTGTAATACTCGGCACCAGTTTTGATTCTGTTTTAAACAAAGCAACAGGTTTTCTTTTGCTGTACGTTTTTATCACCTGACCGTTCATTGTGCACTGCACCTTATCACTCTTTCTTCCAATGCACAAACTTAACTAGCACTAAAATAAACAAATTTCAAAAAAACAAAACAACAACCATCAACTTGCGAGACAGTCGAGTTGAGGGCTGAGGCTTGAGGCAAATCAAACCGTCTTTTTGAACATGTTTGTTTGTTTATATATCCGGCATAACTCGCGCATGCGCATAAGCTTTCCTTTATCCTTTTTCCTTTTTTCCTTTTCCTGGGTGCGTTCGGTTTGCATCTTGCAGCCCATAAATTCGTTTTGCATCGTTCATTTTTCGTTGTTGTTTAATATATATACCCATAAGTTTTTCGTCTACATTGTTGATATCATAGATTATCGATGTACTGTTTATAAGTAATGGGAGAAATATCAAACGTGGGAAAAAATGAACGATTGATGCAAATCGAACGCACTTGGCATGCATAGAGATCGAGAGAGCATGAGAGAGAAAAGAACCGCGAAATTTAACTCAGTTTACTATCATTTGATGTTAAATAAGTATTATTTTACGTTGATTCGTCAAAAAAGAAATGAGGAAATAATGGATGGAAAAAAAACCAATTTTTTTTAAATAAAATACGTTTAATGGTACTTATATCTCATATCATATAATATGCATTAATTCGCAGTGAAATAATTTCAACTGTACAAACATTTGAGTTTGATCCAAATATCTTTGTTTCAATAATTGCCAAAATTTTCACTTGTACACTTGAAAATTAAAAAAATTTTACTTAATAAATTTTTTTTTTTTTTTTTTCAAGCACATAGTATTGCAATTCATGGTATGAAAAAATTAACAATTTAACATCGACATTTTGTTATGTCACACAATCATCAGCATAAATTGATTGATTACGCCGTTTGAATTTTTTTATTTCATTTTTTCCGTTATCTGGTTCATCATGGAGCATCTCATTCAATGTTCTTGGACTTTTCGAAGAATTCGATAAATTTTGTATCTCTTGGGAATTGTCTTCACTATTTATAGAACTAAGAGAAGTATTACTTTCATTTCTGGCAGCTGGTAGTTTTAATGGAGTCATAATTTTTTTTTCAAAAATCGGAGTAATATCTGTAGGTGTGGTGTCAATTATAAAGCTGTCTTCTGTGGAGCACGATAAGTCAGTAAAAGAATCGGTGTGTTTTGATGAATTTGGCGAGAAACTAGTATTTCTGCTCGAAAAACTTTCGTTATGTATATTTGAACTTGAATTTGTACTAGTACCAATACTAGAACGCTTTAATAAAGCTAATGGATCACTTATGGAAAGTTTATTACAGAATTCCGAGGTTTGATCATTTAGAACTATACTTGGTTGACCAGCGTGTTTAGTGGGTGTTTGAGGACTGTAGGCCCTGACAGTTTCTTTAAAATTTAATGGTATGACTAAGTCACACTTAAGTTTATTAAAAATTGTTTGTTTTTCCTCTTCGCTTGGAGTAAAAACCCACTTTCCATTGTTGATTGGGCCAGGCATGTAGCAAATACCATTTTTAACGCTCAGCAAATCATTGGTTAAAAATAATATAGTTAGCCATTCCAAATCATATGAAAGTTTAATTGGTAAGCTCTCATCGTGTTCTACCTCTATTATCTGTAAAAATTGTCTCTTGGGTAAGCATTTATCTAATGCTAAGAAATTTGTTGATTTAGTATTGTCGTCGTTTGTCACACATGCTGTGAATTTACAGTGTAAATGTGCAGCAAACCAGTGTGACGGGTAATGACACCTCAATAATTCCATAGCTGGTGAACTTCCTAGACGATCACTTTCAATATCGTCTTTGAAAAATGGCTTTTTTCTAAGTAATGCATTAACATTGCCATACTTAGTTACTCCCCTAGGCCAGTCATGGGACATACAAATATCAATTTTTCCTGAAAGCTGTGCAAAGTTTGAGTACACTAATGTCTCTTCTTAAACAAAACAATAAAATAAAAATATTCTTAAACATATAAGTCACCTGCTTCAACCGATACACTTCCAAGTTTCTGATGTGATAAGCGCTTCGTATCGAGTTTTTGTTGTAAGGAGGAAATTCATAATGACCCTTCATGAAATCATGTGTCTTGTAAATACCTGAGAGACCTGCTATTCGAATTCCTGCAACGCTTACAACTCCAGCATATCCTAGATAATAGATGTTTGGTGCAACCCAACCGCCATAGGGTAATTCTTGGAGATAATTTGAAGCTTCATGATTTCCACCAATGAAAATTGTAAGACAGGGAGCAACATTTTCTCCTGTATAATACCTAAATTGGAACAATGAAGAAAAACGCTTTAGAGTATACTGATGTGGATGGTATAAATTACCGGATAAAACAGTTTAATTTGTATATTTACTTGTAAAAAGTTCCCATATTCTTGTACTTATCAGGTACAGCCATACATCTCAAATCAGACCAGTTTCTAGTGGCCTGAAAATCTCCACAACACAGTAGCAAGTCAACTTTTTTTCCATCAACTTTCTCGGCTTCAGCGATCGCATTGTAAATTGTTTCCAACTCGCCGTGGGCGCAACCCTCCACAGCAATCCTCATTTTCACAATTTAATATACTTTTAACAACTTGACCGGGGCTTTATCAGAGCTGCTCGATAATGGAACGTCTCGCAAATGAACGGAACCTAACCTTGTTCTAATCACTTGATAAACACGGTTGAGCAGTCAGATAAGTATGATGCCTTTAAGAAACGTTATAATTTATCACTCAGTGATCAATAATTAGTAAAGGCATAGAAACAAACAAACTTCGATATTTTTTGCTGTTTCACTCCCATGCCACCCCATATTTTGGAATTTGTTGACATGCGGAACCCACCGAGCTCACCACTGTTTTACCGGCAGTGCGTACAGGTTGACGCTAGCGCCGCCCGACCATGCGGCGTTACAACGACCTACGTAACTTACCTGCTGGGTGCTGGCAGCATTTGCGGAATACAGCCTCTGCCTCTGATTCAAATAATTTAATTTTAGAGTATATATTTTCGTTGTAAATCGGCAATGTTGTTGGACACATCTTTGTAACGATCCCGTAATTTATTCGTTTTTTTCAATTTTGCTAACGTTTGAATTTGCTGCCACGTGAATGGCGCTTATACATAGGCCCATGCTCTTGCTCGCGCCTCTCTGGCCACTCATCTCTTTTTCCAGTAAAGAGATATAATATTTGCTCCAAGCCCTCATCCTCGTGCCTGTTAGTATCGCACTAGCAGCCAAAGCGGGGAAATCGAGTGAAATTCCAGCCGCAACTGCGGACTTTAAAATCACGATAGAAGCTAAACTTTCACGACTCCAAATCATTCAACTCTAAAATGGTAAGATAATAATTAAGTACTCGATTCATTTATCTCGTCTCTGGAGTGCCCTATATATCCTTACTCTTGCCATAATTGCCACTCCCAACCACTGGTAATAATATTAAATGTAGTCTGCTTGTAATTTTTATATCCCGTTGTTAACTTGATATAATTGACCAATTTTTTTTTTGTCACAAACGATTGTTTGGACTTTACATTTTTTCACACCTTTTACATAGAAAAGAAGTGTTATTGAAAAAATACATACATGAAGGTTTATAGGTACATCACTACCTCTTACTGCGTACTACTTTTATTTACTCGTGATACTATACCTATACGTACAGCATAGATCAAACGATCTCCTTTATTGCATGTTAAGAATATTTCTTAATTAGATTATTATTATTATTATTATATGGCAATGGTATCATTTTGCCTTTTTATATACTTGGAGGAATATTGCATTATTTTTTTACACCATTCTTCTCAAAATCATGTGGTTGTTGTTTTCACAGATATACCGTAAGGACGTCAACTTAGAAAAATAATTTTAAGAATGCTATGTATGTTATGTGTATACACACTAACACCTGTTGCTTTTATGTACGGTGTATATATATATATATTTTTTTTTTTTTCGTTTTGCTTCTTTTAACAAAGTACTGTCACTATTTTATGTAATGCAATTTTTAAAATCTTTTTTTTTCTCCGATAATAATTTTAATGAATGAAACATTTATGTATATTAAGATGCGATTGACCAACAAGATAAATACAGGATTCACCCATAGCAAAAAAATCTCCTTTTTTTGGTTTACTTAAATTTTGCATATTTTTGTCTGCACACGTTTTCTATTTAGAGTATGCAAAGACATTCTGCTCTACATCTTCCATCTTGTTTAGAAAATATGTATAAATCGTCGACCTTTCTAAGAGATTCTAATGACGTTATGTTAATTAAACTCCGCTGCTATTGCTGAGTAATCGTCTAAGAGACATATTTCTCGAGTATCTATGTTGCATACGCTTTTACTTAGTATTGAGATATCCCAAATCGGAACATACCGAGCTTACATCTAGGTCAATATAGGTCAATAAAGATTTGAAAAAAAAAGCGTATAATACATGAGAAAAAGAGTTGGGTGCCTTGATTTTATACATTACATGGTCGTCAAAGATAACACTCAAGTCTTTAATCTCTGATATTCATTTTATCACATTACTAATCTTGTAGTCGTATTTAATGCATTCACTGATATTGTCTCTGTGAAACATGATAGCACACATAGGAATGTTTTTTATCTGAATAATTTTTCAAGATTTACTTTACTGAAATTAAATACTTTTCCTCATTAATCTTAAAAAAACATTAAGTTTGACTGAATTCGATTTTTCACTACAGGCCAATCCAATAAATGTTGTTGTTACTGGAGCAGCTGGGCAAATTGCCTATTCACTGCTTTACCAGTTGGCCTCAGGGAGCGTGTTTGGTTCTGAGCAATCAATTAACTTGAGATTACTTGACATTGCGCCCATGATGGGAGTTCTAAAAGGAGTGATAATGGAGTTGGAAGACCTTGCTCTTCCTATCGTTAAAGGTAATCATTTGGTCTAAAGTGATATTTTAACGCTTTTGTGTAAAAAAAATGGACGCTCTTTAGGAGTTTCTAAACGAACAATTTGATTTTTAGATATTTTGCCGACGGATGACCCAAATTTGGCATTCAAAGATGCGGATGCTGTATTTTTAGTTGGAGCAATGCCCCGAAAACAAGGAATGGAAAGAAAAGATCTTCTCGCCGCTAATATTAAAATTTTTAAGGTCCAAGGGGAAGCATTAGATAAATATGCGCGAAAAGATGTTAAGGTTTTAGTCGTTGGCAATCCAGCAAACACAAATGCTTTGATCTGTTCACGTTACGCTCCTTCCATACCAAAGCAAAACTTTACAGCTATGACAAGGCTGGATCAAAATAGAGCCAAGGCTGCTTTAGCCACGAAAATAGGAGTTGGGGTAAAATATATTTTTATTAAAAAAAATTTTTTTGTTGAAACAATTTAAACAAACTAATTTTAACACTTAGGTGGAAAAAGTACAAAACGTAATAATTTGGGGCAATCACAGTTCAACTCAGTATCCAGATGCAGCTCACGCCACAGTAGAAGTAAATGGTGTCACTCAGCCGGTTTCTAAAATTGTAAATGATGATAAATGGTTGAGCGAAGATTTTGTTGAAACAATTCAAAAACGAGGAGCCGCAGTAATTGCAGCGAGAACCATGTCATCAGCTATGTCAGCTGCTAAAGCTGCCGCGGATCATATGCGTGATTGGTGGTTCGGTACAAAACCTAATGAAGTTGTAAGCATGGGAGTTGTGTCGGATGGAAGTTACGGGATTCCAAAAGACATTATTTTTTCTTTCCCAGTGACTATCAAAAACAAGCAATATGCAATTGTACAGGTGAGTGCCATTACTTCTTGGTACTAATTTATAAACGATTTAGATGACGTAAATAAGCAATTTTTTAAATTAATTTTTAGGGACTAGATATTAATAGTTTTGCTAGGTCAAAATTAGACATAACTGCCAAAGAATTAGAAGAAGAGCGAACTGAAGCGTCTTCTGTACTACAGTGACTAGATGACGGTAAAATACAAAATACTTTGGAAGAGGCAATATCCAAATTGTAATGAATGTTTTTAGCATTATTGCTACTACGTACTGAAATAGATGATCGATGGTAATTATTTTTTGATGTGCCGAGATATCACATATTAAAAAAAATTGTTCTAGCCCAAGTACATGGTAACTCATAATATGATGTATACATGTAAGTTATGAATGTTGTAGAAATGTTGACAATAAAAATTTGTGACTCGATGTATTTTATTTTTTTCTTAAAATCTGCCATTACAAGTCCAATTGTTTTGATTATTGAATTTTTGAATAAAATAAAATTATTAATATCTTAATAAGTAACATGATTATTTTTTACATGCCTGTAAATTTTTTTGTAACAGCTAGGCATGTGCAGGAAGAGAAGAATATAAGAATAATCTTTTACTAGATACACTCTTTTTTATTGGTTCTCTATTTTTAATGCTTTACATTCAATAGATTATTTTAATATTTTTCGTATGAAAGACGCTTAACGAATTGTAAAATAATTGCGGAACGTGAATTTTTCAACTCGGTGTGGTAACATTTCATAGATTCTTTAGGCGCTACTCGGCTTCAATTTTATGTATATATGTATATATATATCTTTAAATTTTATCAAATGATTTACACGAGATGTCTTTCTTGTGACTGTGAAGTTAATTATGTAACAAATGTAAACTCAAGCAATTGATGTGGTTAGTAACAACCACAAACACGAAAAAAATATTTATGTATTAGACAAGGTATTTTACAAAATCGATAGTATCAGTAATAATAGTACGGACGAATTCCTCAATCATTTTTCTGCGGACGTAGAAAATTACTTACTATATATAGCGCTATAACCAACTCTTTGAATACAAGTGCAATAAGCAATGCTCTCTCTTATGTCGTTAAATTCTTTATTCAAACGATAAAAAAGAATCATCGTAAATTATTCTAAATGTACACTTCACATCGACTTTTTTTACGAGATTATGATTTACAACTTCTTTATTATTATGACTCATTAGGTAATAATTATAATAATAGTAATATATTAATACGAATTTCAGAAAATATTTAATTTAGATGGAAACCTCTTTCTCGAGTAGCAGCCAAAAGTTTCTCTTTGAGAATTTCTTCAGTTGGATACTCGGGTAGTTTTAAATAATGTACACAAGTATTAACAGACGGATAACCACCAGACCCGGCATCAACTTTTCGTACAACAGTCAGTCTAGGATGTAAATTGCATAATCCACCTGGGGGCAATGCCGAACATCCTGTGGCAAATTGTAGGAAAGCTTTTCGTTCTGTACCAGTCAGCGACATCAAAACATTTATGAATCTCTGGAATCCAGGACTAAAAAAAGTTGTAAAAAAATTAAATAAACGCATCTGTTTGATCATATTAGAAGAGAGTCATACAAAAATAATAATAAAGTACCATTCTCTGGTGTAACCTAATTTTGGTTCCGTGTAGTTTAACAAATCTTCTCTGGTCCATTGCGGATTTTGTTCACCGCAAAGCATAGTTCTTATTTCCTCAGGACTGAAGGCGTATAATTTTTCCATGGGGAAGACTTTCGAAAAACCTGCTCTGAAGGCTTCTAACTGTCGAGCTATACCGCGGTCAAAGCAATAATTAATTGTGAGTTCCGAGTATTCCTTGGCATTTTCTATGGTCACAGGAATATCAACACCTCCCTCCTTCAATTCAACGTAATCGTATTCGAGTACTTTTGAACTTGGCGAGTAAGTCATTGTTAAAGCTAAATCTTCTATTGCAACCGATGTTCCAGAAGGATGCGATATAAAGAGTGTTTCGCCGATGAAACTATCTTCTGCACAGGATGAGTGCCCTTCGGAAATAGCCCTTTCTCTTTTAGAAATTAAAGTTTGAATTTCCTTTAAGAACTTTCCTCTCACTGGATCTACCAATACGAGATCGTCTACTTCCAAAATACCATCGTACCACGGCGTTGGCTCTGATTCGTCAAAATTTTCCTGTTGAGAAGAAAAAAATCAATTAGTTTCACATTATTCTCTTACTAGAGAGAGACTCTTGATTTATACAATGGTTTCCTAAATTGTACGGACCTTATCATCTTGTTCACTTTCCTCAGATATAAAGCTACTAGCCATACTTGAAGACATGCTTTCTTGCGCCGTGACGTTTGAAGTGGTCAGTCCTATTCGTTCATTCACGTTATTTGCAATATCACCCCGACACATTAATTTTAAGAAAGGCCGCGAAAGTGGCAAGTCAACAAGTCGATTGTCTTGCAAAACTTTAGCCAAAAAAACACCAAAGAACCAAAAGTATCGCACAGCTCGGTCGCACGCCTCTGAATTTTGCGGAAGCGGCGCCGGGAAAAGTCCACTCGTCCGAGTGACATAGAATCCGGGTGCACGTTGACGTTCGCTGTGGTCTCCCGTTAATTGCGTTTCGTTTTCAACGTTGTGTTGCTCTTCGTCGTCACACAGCCACAATCCCAAGTCTTTTCGCTGAAGTTCAGCCGCAACAAGAGCGAAAAATTCAAGTGTTGGACCCAAACCAGTGCCTTCTTCTCCAACAAATTCCACTTCAAGAATACTTTTTCGATTCGCGTGTATCTGTAAAATTCAATTTTAAGATCACATAATTTTTTTATGCAACTCAATAAATGGAAGCACGCATTACATAAAAAAAATTGTTTATGTATATACCTTGAGAACTTGCTCTGCCCAATCCAATAATTTGTCTCCTCTTGGCACACTAACTCGTTCGTGCTTCAGTCTACCAACTCTAAATTCGTGTACGTCATCACGTCTTGGACTAAGTCCAGGAGCCCTTTGCCTTTCTAAAACGGCGTCGCGTTGAGTCTGCAGCCAAACGATCGATCGAGATGCTCCAAAAGCTGTACAACTGAAATACAGTCTGCGAGTCTCAAACGGCAACAAAAAAGGGCAACTCCTGGCAAGTTCCTCACACCAATTGGGAAGAGCTGCAGCGGCCAGAGCTAGTGGATCTTGAATCTGTTGTGAAATTTTGTTTGTAATTTTCTTGGACGTGAAATCATCAGGGTGTACCCAGTTGGCGTCTGAAGTGTCGTCATCTTGTTGGTCATGTGGAATACGGATCATGTTAAGGTTACCATTACCAGGGCTTGATCCAAGTACGTAAACATGACGTAAAAGCTGAAGCACATCTTCAACAGTACACCCATTAGCATTCTGATTCAGGTTACGAGGATACAAATTAACTATGGGTGTTGTTCGTCCAGAAGACTCGTCATCCCCAGCTTCTTTATATATTATTCTGAAACGGCCAAATAATATGTTATCACGTATTCAAAAATCAGTAATTAAAATTCGAATGTTTTGACGATGCTTACGTATAAATCGGTTCCCATATCCTTCTCAGCTTTTCTTGCTTGCTACCCAATTCAGTAAGTTGCATTAACTGCTGCACCGATTGGAATATACTGGCATGAGGATCGGTAAGGGGTATTTCCACGTCAGGGATACCAGGTAAACCAGGTCCTTTGAGAGAAAGCGACAATTTTGGTCCGTTGGCTGTGGATGATCCAGTGTGAGCTGGTACTCGAGTTTCGGTTCCTGGTGGTGGAATTTCCAAATCGGTTGTCTAAAATAAAGTAATGACAGATACATTATATAATATGAATGAAAATTTTTCGAAATTTCTTACTCAAACAAAACTCACTTGGTTAACATTTGTTCTTCCAGGTCTTGGATCAAAGGCAGGAATTAAAGCTGAAAATTGACGCTTTAACACGAATTCATCATCCCAAGCTCTTCTCTTACTACTTGGAGGTACTGATTCTTCTTCCATGAATGCAGCCAATAAGTTGCGACTAACCATAACATCCTGGTAGTCTCCTTCATCAGCACCTTCCTCTTCATTTTCTTCGTCGTCATCAACTTCCTAAAATGTTCAAATAAATGTATTTATTACTCTCATGGTTATGAGAAAATTTTAATATAAAAGAGTAATAAATTAATTTACCTGATCATCATTTTCATCATTGTCATCTTCTTCTTCGGCTAAAACTCCATCCTCATCGTCTTCCAATTCGGTGAGAAGCGTTGGTCCTCCAGTAGCACGCGCTCCTCCGATACTAGTAGCTGCAACTTCACCACACGCTTCTAAAAATTCTTCAAAACTGACCTGCAACGAAGATATACATTTTAAATTAAATTTTACCTAATTATATTTGATTACGTTTTAAAAATTTATGAAAACGGATTGGTGAAAAATACCTACCAATTCACTGTCACTACTTGTGCTAGTTAAAGACATAGTAAGAGTTTGTCCTAAGCCTCCGCTACCAACGGGTCCTGAGCAATTTGTTGCACCCGGTATTTGATTACTACTTGTTAAACTCGGGTAACTTTGAGCAGTGCCAAGCAAACCACCTGGGAAGTTTGAGCTCAGAGCTAATCTCACTAGACTAGAAACTGGATTCGATCCTCGTGAATTAGAATTGGGAATGTTATTGGACGTTATGTGTTGATTACCAGCTGGACCTACGATTCACAGAATCAGACGTACAGTTACTTGTACAAAATAAATGTATTTTTTATCTAATTATTACTTACCTAGAGTTCGTCTGCGAGCCATTGCAGCAAAGGTTTCCAACAATCCAGATGCTGCAACTGGCTCTAAAGTGTTGTTAGTATTGTCACTACAAGCGAGATTTGGAACAGATACGGACATAGGGTTTGTAGTAACGACAACGGGACATCCAGCTCCAGCATTTTGCGAGGACGAGCTTGCATCTTTGTTTTTTGGGCAACAATCTTTTGATGCTTTAAAATAAAGAATTAGTATGGTACCAGTGTGACAAATTTTTATAAAAAGTTTATGTTATTACCTTCAATAGCTCCAACAGTGGTGTTAGTTATTGTGTTTGCTGCAGCAGTCGTGTGACTCCTTGGAGCAGGTTGGATTCTCATAGAATTTTCATCTGTCTCTCCAGATACACTTATTCTTACTGGAACTAAGCCAAGTAACTCACCACTAAGAAAACTATTTGTGTTATTTCGTAATCTATCGGCTCCCTCGCGCATGCGATCGAACACTTCAGCAGCTTCGAGATTGAATATACCACTCGTAGTCTAAAAATTAATGTATTAAATCCATTATTTGATAATCAATAATTGACATAAGACGGATCCAACGTACCTTATTTCCACCACGGACTGCTGATAACAAGGGCTTCGAGCTGTTTGCAGTACGATTACTATTGCTGTTTCCTGAGGCAGATGAGCAATCGGTGTTGAAGGCCAAACTTTCAACAATCGTCGCCAAATCACTCGTAACGGCTGCTGTATCAGGTCTGGGGTGCAATACAACTGAAAGCTCACCTGACGAATTCACCCCACTTTCTCCAGTCACAACTACCGCTTCAGCACGAGTTACGGAAAGGACACTTTCTGCTATGGATTCGGCAGCCTGCTGTTTGAGTTAAGGTACATTATTATTTTTTTTCGTTAAAGGTGAAAGATGATTTTTTAAATATTTTCATCTCAAAAAAAGCGAAGTTACTTTGGCTGCAAGGTTGTCAGCGCTTGCCGCTTGATCTGTCGAAGCAACGGAATATCGGATTCCCGTATCTGTACAGTAATCGGGTAAACTTGGCGTACTGTTGGATTTTCGACCCGTCAACACTCCAGTTCCATTTTTCGATTTCACAGCACTGTCAGTTGTTGAATCTACACCACCACTGCCACTAGTGTAAACTAATTTCAGATCGAATTTTCCCTCTGCACCCATTCGATACGAATTCGAACATCCGTTGTCCCACGTAACGTCAATCCATCCGTTGTGAAGCTCACCCGTCACTGTTCCTTCACCCGGTGGCACACCGTCTTGGTCCCTCCACTTCCAGTCAAGACCACGAGTTACTCTAGCTCCTGCCACCAAATGTCTCAAGACTTGTGTTTTAATTACACGTCTTTGTCTGCGCATACAAGCTTCGGCCTCTTTGGCTGCACGACCCAAATCTTCACAAACGCCGGTCACTTCCCCGTATACTTCGAAGCCAGATACCGACAAGTAGTGAGTTTGACCAGAAGCATTTTTGCCGGTTTGTTGCAAACGCAAGTGGCGCCAACCTTGCGTCTCGTCACTGGTTACCGATTGATCTAGGGTCCAACTTGCCGTACTGCCTGGTTCATTCAGAGAACAATCGTCTACATGTGCGTGCAATGTCGTCCAATTAATGCCGTCACGCGATGCCTAAAAGATGTAAAATACCATTTTATACAAAACAGTGACAAAAGACTCTCAACTGAAGATCGATAACAAATTTAAATTTTTACTCTACCTGAAACATCCAATTTCTCAAAGCACTTTTGCCATAGCCTCTTGCGTGTCGCAAAGTGTAAACAGTTGGAATGATCCATACACCTAAATCTATGGAAAACCATGCTCTCTTATCGTCATTGGTGTGACAATTCATGGCAGATGGATCTCGACTGAGTATGTCCTCGAGATGTCCATAAGGCAAATTACGGCCGTCACTGGATGTAACCACTACGAGACCATATTGACCAGGATTTACCCATTCAGGTGAAGTTCTGGAATAAATAAATTAAAAAAAAATTACATTATTAATTTTCTCCGTTATTTTTCAATTGATCGGTATCGAAGAATTTATTTACTTAGCATTGGTTCCGATCCAGTATATCAATCCACTGTCGTCAAAGTCATGCTGATACTTGAATGTTAATTTATTAACATCTTTTAATTTTTTAACAAACGTAAACGTTGATCTGTCATGGTCATGCCACTGTTTTGCAACCATTTTTAGTAAGTGGTTTTCCAATTGTTGCACTGTACTAAGGGGTTCCATTTTCAAATTTCTACCAGTCCTATCGATCAAAGAACTTTCACTAGTGGATTTTTCCAATCGAAACCTCAAGCGCCTCGTCAAAATCTAAATCAAGAAATTTAGCATTTAATAACCATTTTCGTAAACTTCCATTAAAAATATGAATCTTGTAAACTCTAGTAAATATACTGACTTGTAGTCCGTATCCGGTTCCTGGAGTATCATACAAGTATACAGGTAATTTTTCGATGGATTCCAAAACGGATATAAGCTTTTGCACGAGGACTTTGGCAAAATTATCTTCTTTTGCAACATCTTTAGATTGAAAACAGCTTTTAAAAACTGATATCCTTTGTAATCTTAATTTATTCATTCTAGGTGAAAGCTGTTGCGCACTCGTGTTGGACGGTGCAGCAAGTAGCGCGAGAAGAGCTTGTATTAGACCGCTGGAGTGTAATTCGTAGGCCGAGACTTTTCCTTCTTCATTTAGCAAAACCTTCAGTTCATCGAGAGCCTCCTGCAATATCGAACGCCATTCGCGATTTCCAGATTGTTGATGCTGCTTTTGACAAGCTTTTTCGATTTGACAAACTATCGCACTGAGTTTTGCCACGACTCCCCGAGGTTGTGCCTGAGCTGCTTTGAAGTAACACTCGTATATGTCTTGAGCTTGATTTCTGACCTTTTGCTTGATAGCTTCCATTTTCGAGCGCAATCGTTTGCCACGTTTGCCGGCCCAGCCCGCGGAAAATTCTGGCCCTACTTGATCGTTATTATATTTATTAAATTTCGTATTCAAATGTGTATCAAATAAAATGAAACACTCCTTACCTAAACTCGTCTCTGCTGTGAAAGAATGTTTGGTACCTCGGTTGGATTCGAAAATAAAACCCGGCAAATCTTCTCGTAAAATGGTAGCCTGCTGTTGACCATCGCTGTTGTGAATACAAAGTTCGCCCTCTTTTTTACAGGAAAGTGACCAATTTCCGATGACGAGTCTTGTCGAGCCTGGCTTAGAAAGGATAGGTTGACTTTGGGAATTAGGTTTGACTTGACTCCGAGCCCGCTGCAGTTTTTCCAAAAATTCCCCACGATTTTCTGAAAAATACATATTTTTATATAATTTACATGCATGTAGGTGCTTTCTGCTTGTCTGATTATTTGACAAACTAAGGATGATTAACATGTATAAACACTAAATACATGGCTGAAAGCCCATACCCACCTTCACTGGTAAGAGACTCGCCATTTCTTCCTCCCTTACCTGTAGGCAGTTGGTAAGTAAATAATTTTTTTTTTTGGCAGTACTTCATGTATTCGCGATTATCGACCATACGACGATTGTTTCACAAAACAAAAAACGTAAAGAAAAAACAGAGACCAAATGAAATAAAGAGGATAGGAAAAAATGCGTTAATTAAATACAGCAAACGAACAATGGAGTTAACAATTTAATACATAACGACTGACTCCATAAAAATTGTTTAGTCAACAAAATAAAAAGCGTAACGGAACTCGTTTTAGTAAAAAACCGACGTTAAATTCATGTAAATTGAAATCGTTAATTCTCTGAACATGTAAAAAAAAAAACAAAAAAAAAGGTACCTGTCGTGTCAGTTCCGCCCTCTGGACTACCACTGGAATACATGGTGGCTAGCTTGCCATCCAAGATGAATCTGAACCACCCGTTGCTGCCATTCGAAAGCTCTAGAGCAGCGGCATCCGACCAAACGTAAAGGCAATCTCGGCCCCGGCACACGCACCAGTCCCTCCAGTGGTATGCCTTTCCGATCAACAGTTCCTTTGCATCCTCTTTCTGGTCGTCACTAGTCACAACTACTGACGTTCCACCGCTCGCCTCTGGCTCGATCTCGATTAGTAGTTCCTGGGGGCCGGCCAGGGTGCTGACTTTTGAGAAAACTCCTAGACGCGCAAAATGCTCCAAGAACTCGTCTTTGCCCTTGATCATCAGATCTTGTATCATTTGCAGCACGACTAGATGCCCATCTTCGTCCTCCTGTTATCAATCATTTACAATTGATTTACCATCATAACGTTGCATCAATAAAATTTGCAATAACACTATTTTTCATATCAACATTTAAAACCTTGCAAAATTTAAAAATATTAGATGTATGACAAAATTATGCACATGAGAGTTCCGCACAGCAATGTTGATGTTCGAATTTCACAGTTACGTAGCAATTTGTTCAAGTTGTGTAGGTTTGATGATGTCTTGATCGTGTACGGTATTAAGTAATTGTAAATAAGTAAGAGTGTGGGTATACATGTAGTTGATTTTTTTTTCTTCTACAAACTGTATACTAGGTTTTGCTACTCACTTGATTAAAACAAACGCAGATGAAAATACAAAATCAAACAAATGCAAACGACGAATTACGATCGTTAGAGTGATTAATATAATTTTTGCGCATCAGCTTGCGAATGATGCTTTTTTTTTAAAATCACAACTCGTTCTCTAAATCGAGACGAGAGTAAAACTGATTTTTCAGAGGTCTGTTCAAGTTAGCTTTGGTTAAAAGGTAGTAGGAGGAACAATAACAAGAATAGAATGTAAACAAAAAAAGAATAAGTAAAAATCAAATAAATATGAAAAAATAAGTATCAAGTTGGGACGGACGTTACCGTCTTGGCGAGAATGTAGTACTGGGAAAGATTGCGCGATGAAAATGGCAATTTGGGACCAATAAACGTTTCGAGAGACGGAGGTGGCGGTGGAGATGTCGACGACATCATCGAAGACAGGGGACTCGCTTTTATATCAAACTCCTGCCGACAAAATTCCGTGGTAACGATAAGTGCAGGATATAGGCTATACAGACTCTCGCAATTATACTTAATTATTTTATTTAAAAAAACTTTTCTAGAGTACTGAGCATCGTTAAGTGATTGCAATCACAAAAGTAAAATAACGATTGAATCTTACCTCATTGTCTAGAACATTAGCAATGACCTCAACAAGCATAGCTCCACAACCGTTTGTTTTGTCAGCTCCACAGGTTTCAACAAGTAATTCCGGTTGAATGTAGTGAACTATTTTACGAATCAGACTTAAACTGGCTTTCCTCACACTTGGTAACATCGTTGATTGAAAAGTTGAGCAAAATACAGGCAAGAGTCTTTTGAGATACACTGGAGCCATTTCCGGATCACCTTTGGGTTCGGATAACTCTTTAACGTCGTTGCTCTCTAATTTACGATCGTCTTGGCCAGGCGGGGGCAACATCCACTCCGCTGGTGACTGTAATATAGCGGCAACTTCGCGATGGCCCTCGTCTACTCTTTCCCTAGCTTTGTCCAGGGGCGTTTTGCCATCTTCATCACGTAAATCTGGATTGGCACCGTGTTTCAATAAAACTTTGGCAATCGCAGGTCTCCCGAAACACGCGGCATAGTGGAGACTCGAGGAACGCTGACCCTTGTTTACGTCCGCGCCCTTATCACAGAGAAATTCTACCATCTCTTGCGTACCGAAGGCTGAGGCCCAGTTAAGCAAAGTTTGGCCAACGTCATCCATAAAATTAACTTCAATTCCTCCCGACTCAATGGCCTCTATCAAAGCGTCGGTGTCTTTGGATCGTATGCAGTCGATAAGTTGCCTGTGGCTTTTTTCTCCGGCGCTATCGAGCCGCCTCAGTCGAGGTAAAAGAGGCCCTGATGAGCCATTGTTGACGCTCGATCGTCCTAGAGCCGATCTACCCTCGAACAACAGTACCAACAGCAAGTCCACCAACCGCATTGTGTCAAGAGCACAGCGTTCGTCACCTTTCAAGGCCTTTTCAATCGCGTCCGGCAAATTTGAGCGTAACAAATCGTGAGTTATCGATGCGGAACCTCGACACAAAGTTGACAGTAGACTGATTATTGTGGAGACAGAAGCACAGGATTTAGCTTCCGATGTTGTGATTGGCGTGGTTGCTACACTCGGTGTCGCTGGAGATTTGGCATTGCCAGGCGTCATGTTGATCGATGAAATCGGCCCTGCTGCATTTGACAATCTAAAAATTGTTGTACATGTAAAGAAGTAATTTTACGTTTGTCCAGTTTTACAAAGCCTATAGAGATTTTATTCGAATCGGCATCAGTTACCTGTCCAAAAGTTCGATAACAAGACCGTTGGAGGCCAACGGTGCTGGATCAGTACCTCGTCTGGAAAATCTGTCGGCCAGAGAGGCAAAACAACGTAAAGCGCCATCAGCAACGTGGGCATCTCCATGACGTAGCAAAGTTGAAAGAGCTTCAACGCAATCGGGTAAAGATTTATCCTGAGGTTCAACTTTACCACAAAGGCGTGAAACAACAGCCATAGCGGAATGCAATGTGTCACGATGTACTTGTGCTCCATGTTCTCTAATGAATGACAGAGCGCAAGAAAGACCACCTGCTTCAAAAACGGCTCCTGCTTCTCGAGCGCAAACCAATTCTAGGACCTAAGAACAATCGAAATAAGTATCAATGCTCCAATTTCTCAAATCGATTTGATGAAATTCTTCAGTATAAAGCATCATTGATTTACCTTTATACACTGTTCAGCCAAATCTTTACTAGTTCTTGAACCAAGTCCGGCACAGGAGAGGCGACTACAAATGGCCTTGATGGCACCTTCCATAGCGACAACTCTGCGTGTGCATTCCGCCGAGACATCAAGGTAGTATGTTATAGCTCTTGCTGTTACTTCCAAAACACTGTCAGGAGCCAACTCATCCAGAAATATACGACACAAAGCCGGTAAAAATGTTCTTGGAGGACAACTGTCAACACATTACAATTACAAGTTATGTTAGATAGTGTCAAAGGGAAACGGGATGTAAAAAATGATTGAAATTTCACCTCTCAAAGCAACGATCCACATTATCAGACATGAGCAACAACATGCATAATTGCTCCAGAGCTATTTGCTGCATGTCTCTTTCATCACCCTGGCCCATACTCAGCCATTCAAGCAGAGTTTCTGGATCCACCTCTGCCATTTTGCTTAATATAACTTTTTTATTTTATATTTTTAATTTAAGATAAATCTAAAATTTTGAAGAGGAAAAATTTTGTATGTATCAAGGTCATTTGATTTAATCCACTTGCACCCTACACTTGTTTTATCATAAAATGAGATACAAGAACTTTACAGTCATTTGGCTCAAAAATCTAAAACAATCAACATTATTTACAAAAAACTACCTTTGATTCAGACTCATTACGATGCTCACTGGACAGAAGAAAAATGTTGACATTGTGGGAAGTTCGGTATTAAAAAAAAACATGTGTGTATAAAAAATAGACACTCTAAAAATATCAACATTGACCTTTCTTGTCTCAGAGAATGACGCCAGGTGTATGTACCTTACATTATGGAGTGTATAAAAAAGGAGCGAGAACCGTCACACAATTACAGTTATTGTGCTTTCAAGTCGACATAATACATACAGGTACGTATATATGTATATAATGTTAGTGTTCAGGTAGGTATTGTCTTATTTCAAGTGTTAATAATTTCCTCAGTTTTTACTGAGCACACAGCCCCAAGTCAACAAACACCATTGTCCTCCAAATTGGTTGCTGAGCAGACGACCTGAGAGGCTAGGAATCCGCTAGCGAGTCCAGGGTACAGTAGAAGATTGCTCTCGAGAAAAAGGCACAGGGGAACAACGACGTCAGCGGCAAATGCGATGCAGGTGACTGTGCCGAGGACCAAGTCTCTCTCTTTTCTCTCTCTCTCCCTCTCTCTGTCTGGTGAGTCTCGTCTGGTCGTGCTTTTGGTGTGCTCCCGCAGGTTGGTGGCTTTTTGCAATTTTACTGCTTTTGCCCTGTTCTGGTTTGTTGCAGATTTGCTCCCCGGTAGGCTCTTGTGTGATTTGAGTATCAAACTACAGGCTTTCTTTGAGAAAAATTGAGCCACGGAGAGTTAAAATCTGCAACGGAAGCATAGGAGGTTAGGACTCCACTCGCCTTCCCCCCGCCGCACCGCCCATAAACCTTACCACTGGGCCAGCTGATTGGTCGGTCGCCTCGGCGCATGCCCATCGACCATCAACGGGCCAACCTCGTTCAACGACACCTGTGCAGTGACCTGTCAACTTCACCTCTGTTGTCATTACATACAAATTTCTGCTTATCTTGGGCTTCTTGCAATTACCCACAGCCGCACTGCCGATTATTAATCACAGAGAGAATCGTCAACTCACACACCATAGACCTGCGCCTGTGCCAACCACCACCCACACTATTCAATGTGCGCATGCCTTGATTCACTGAGTACAGCGATTGCCATTTGACGCCTGCTACAAACTGTTGGTGTTTTCCCGACGGCTGCCGTGTAAAGTGCTTTGACTCCGCTACCTGCCTTGCCACGCCGCCTGCTTCAGCTACTCTACTATTACTCGTCTACCTCTACTTTTATTATATCTTTTGTAATACGCATGCATTCATGCCAAAATACTGTCTAATTTGTAATATATGCAAACATCCTATTTTAGGGAACCACACCAGAGCCGTCTGCACGCAATGCTCAGAGACGTTCCACTCGTTCTGCTCAACAACACCTGACTTCACAAAACGCAAGCGACCATCCTGCTGCATCTCACAACAATTTCTCCACATCTCCTACTCACCTGCAATAGCGAATCTACACACAACCGTCCCCACAACACCTGCTTGTAACACTCCTCCGGCCTCGACACTTTTCCCTTCTTCCGCAACTAAACGCCTCCTATCACCCCCATCACCACTATCATCACAAATCTCTAAAGCCCCCCGATTCATCAACTTCTCAAGCACTCCAACCACATCTGACTCATCTCTCTCCCCCGACTCATCAATCATCTCTCAAATGTCGAACACCCATGCAAATGCTATTCCATCACTCCCAAATCCCACTCCACCACCGTTACCACAAGACACCCCAGACTGGTTCCGGAGTTTTTATAAGATTTACTCAGGTAATAACCATGAACTGATGTCCACAATCGGAGGCCACGAGTCTCGTCTTAGCGCTCTTGAGGCCAGGGCGGCATTGACAGATCCCTTGGAGATTCGTTTTATTGGAATCCCCGCCTCCTCTCCTGAGCAGTACAAATCACAAGTGACTAAGGTCCTCGCTGCTATAGGTCTACCAGATTGTGCCAATCTTATAATCCGAACTAGACCATGGGTTGGAAAATCACAACCGGCCCTCGCGGCCTCAATGGCCACTCCCTCAAGTAACATTACTCAGCCTCACTCGCTTGTGGCCGAATTTGCCACTGCGAGGGTTCGGGACCTGATTGTGTCCCAGTCTTATCGACTGAAGAACGTCCGGGCCCGGGATCTTTTCGGGACCGGTGGCAGTACACCTATCTTTTGTCGTCCTCTTTGGCCGGCTCACGTACACGGCCTTTTACTCAAGGCAAGAGAGGCACAACGGCGTCTTGGTTACTTGCCACCGATAGTCAGGGACTTACGTGTCTTTATGCGCCCTAGCCGCTCAGCCGATCCCATACCCATCTCTTCGATTGAAGATCTTGCCCGTCTACCTCCCCAACCTGCCCCACCCCAACAATGACTAAACACAGCTAATCACGCTCCCCCCCTTCATCAATCAACAAACTCCATCACTGTCATCCACGCCAACATAAATCGTCTCAACCATCCACATCACACACAACTCGAACTTTTAGCTGCTGACAGGTCCCCGGATGTTATTGCGGTCACTGAGACCTTTCTTACGCCAGACACGCTGGATGAGGTTGTCGGCATCCGAGGATACTCCCTGTTTCGGGTTGACAGAGCAGGGAAAGAGGGGGGTGGTGTTGGCGCCTACATTCGGGATTCCCTCAAGACAACAATTCTTGCCAGCTCGGACCCTGAATTTGATAACACACCAGAATTCCTTATCCTCGAAATAGCTGTGGCTCAGCACAGAACACTTGTGGCCATTGTCTATCGACGCCCCGCAGCATCTCTTCCACACCACTTTTTTGACATACTCTCAGATCATCTACCGGCTTACTCTAATATCATCATCACTGGTGATCTCAACATCAACATGCTCACTTCATCCTTCTCCTCTCAGTTTCTCTCCACTAAGATCTCAGAATACTCCCTTCACCTGGTTCCTTCCAATCCAACACACCATGCCTTCTACCGCAATAACCCATCGCACACCTGGATAGACATCTTTATTATAAAAGACCCAACCTCGCTAATTCGCTACCAACAGTCCACCGCCCCCTTCATAGCCGGTCATGACTGGATCGAAATCACCCTTCGTTTTCTCCATATACCAAGTATCACCAAAACTATTACGGCCCGAAACCTCAAACACATAAACTCTGAAGCACTCTCATTCCATATCACTCCGTCCCTCTCATCTCTAATCAATTCATGCACTCAACCAAACCCGCAATCTCTCGACACTCTGACTACTCTTTTCTCAACCACTATACTTGAAGCCTTTGACAGACTGGCTCCAAACAGACGGATCACCTTGTCATCGCGTAGAAAGCCGTGGGTCACTCATCAGATCAGGAACATGATGTTGGTGAGAGACAGGGCGTATCGTGAAGCCAGACGGTCTGGCCTATCTACAGACATTGAGCGCTATCGCCGCCTCCGCAACAGGGTATCGAATAGTCTCTCCACTGCAAAAAACTCCCACTTCGCTCACCTCATAAATTCATCACGAAACTCAAAAGATAAATGGACCGCCATTCGAAAACTCAACCTCACCAGTCAAAACCTTCCATCACCCACTCAGCTTTTTTCCCCGGATACTCTTATCTCTACATACTCCATCGTCCCTGCTTCTACTTCACCTCTCACTTCACTCAACTTAAATACATTACTTCGCACCCCTTCTCCTCACTCTTCGGCACCAGTCTTTCATTTCGAACCCACAACATCCGACGAAATTCTCCACACCATCACCACATCCTCATCTAAAGCAATTGGACATGATGGTATANCTCCCTCCTCCTGTCCCTCTTAATTCCCCAACCACCAACCATCCTCACTCACCACTCTCCTTTTGTTAGCCTACTCTAGCCTTCTCGCATCCCACAACCTTCTAAACGCCTTTCCTTCGCATCTCCCTTGCCCTCACATCGCAAATCAAGCTAGCTTTCTCACGCATTCAATTTACCTTGTTATATTGTTATACCTTTTATTTTATTTTTAGTTTTAAGTGGCTTACATTTATTTGCCTTGCGCTCAAGTCTGATTAACTCTTCAATTTGTAATCTCACACCTTGCTCTCTTATTGTAATTTGTTTGCACGCTACAATTTTAGCTTATTGAAATTAGTTTTAAGTCTGCTTATCTTACTGTATTATACTTTTCTGGCCAGATGGGGGTCTTCCCCAAGGCATAATAAACACTCTAAACACTCTAAACACTCTCTTTGTGTCTCGGGTAGCAGGCAACAAGGCCACCACTCTCTGTTAGGCTTCGGTCACTGCTCTCTCTCTCTCTCTCTCGACTTGGAAATCAACAGTACTTATAGCCAGTGCCAAGTTTCTTATATCCGTCTAGGACTCCTTCTCTCTTTTCCTGAAGCAGCCAACAGTGATTCTTCGATTACTTGTCTTCGCGAGACCCCGACGAGTCTCAGCGAAGTTTGTCCATCTTGATTTTTACGCTGTACGCGCGTGATGAAATATTGTACTTGAAACTCAATTACAGGAACTGTTGCAGAGTGAAAATCGTCAATTGTCATTCACTCTCGAGGAAAAGGGAGAACTGATGACTGCAGCTATGATGATGTGTGACGGATGGCTAACTAATAGCCTGCCAGTCCTGCCACGGCACCGTCTCTGATAAGTTGCTAAACTTGACTGCGCCTGCAGTTACTTCGTCGCCTGCAGGCATCTGCACGACGACGTCAAAAGTCTTATAGGTATCGGTGTTGACAACACACAAACAGAAAACCAACCAAACAATAGTTAAATGCCTCGATCGAACTCTGGCTTAAATCAATCTTGTGGTTGGTCAAACTCAAAACACTGAGAGAAAAACCATTATCATCATATTTGTCCTTGATAGACAATGAGCCCATCTTTGTTGCTCTCACTACTCAATATTTTTATATATGTGCATGATTTAAAACTCGCAAGATAAAACAGGTACCTAACGAAATGGCGCTCAAAGGTAATCCATAAATTTTGTACCAATTTTAAATAAGTTTTTGATATTCATTTTTTATTTATGATGGTAATGAGCTGAATTTGTATTTGTGCCGTTTGCAAAATTATTTAACTTATTAGGGAACTGACTGTTGGTGTAGATAAAATTGCATATCCTTTCAATATTTCTTTTCAAACTCTGATAAAAATGCTTTTATTAGAATTTTCTAATAATTTTTCTCATATTAGGTACATACATTGCAAACATACGTCTCAATATATATATATTATGGTAACACGTTCAATTTTGGGATGGACTTTTTAATGATCCTTTTTAGAGTTTTGTAAAAGTTTTTGTATAATTTCAAGAGATGTTCCCAAAATCAAAACTGTTTAAAGAAATTGTCTATAGTTTTTCAATGTTTCAATCGATAAGAATCAGCAGAGGATTTTAGAGGCACTATATTTTACATCACCAGATCAAAAGTACTCAAGTACGATGACTTGACAACGTTATACTTAATACATAGTTTTTTACATTGACATTTATCGAAAAGAAAAAAAATGCAAGGATAATCATATAATTATACGGCCTTGAGCCTGACACGAGTAGGAGAGAAGGAGTGGGAGCTGCCCTCTCCTCCCACCCCTCCAGCTCTCCTCACACGCGCGATCCTCCTCTCTCACTCTCTCTCTCGACTGACTCCTCGCAAACGTGTTTTATTTGTTCACGTCAAACAATATCGTGTGCAATGTGTGCATGTGTACGTGTAATGCAGCTCCAATATTATTTATTTCTTATCATTACAAGTTAATATAATTTTGTCATTTTCAGTGAAAAATTCATATACACCATACATTTAAGTTACAAGTAACTTACATACTAATACATTAAAGTACAAATGCTGAACTTGAAAATCATTGTTAAATGTCACATTTCAAGCAAATCTTTCTGTAATTTTTAGAGAATAATGCGATTTTTTTGCAGTGGAGCGCTATATCGTATAAAGCAGTGAGAGAGAAACTGCACAGTTTGTGAATAAAGATATAAACATTCCAGAACTTCCAGTACCTGTACTTCTTACACTTTTGTGCAAGTTGTACAATTTTATGATCATTAGTGGTTGGTGAAATACGTAATAAAATATGGCTACTAATGTTGATGTGTACGATGATCTCTACCTGTGAGTAACAGAGTGTTTTAACTTATTTTTAATTTGTATTAAATAACGCTAATCAATAAATTTTTAAAACTTTTTTTTTAAGGTATGCCACTACAGATAAATTTTACATAGAACCAATGAGAACTAAAATTTTGCTTGTCATTGATAGAACAACCCATCAAATTTACACACAAGGTATGATTACTGCATTAGAAAATCATGAACAAAACTATCCTCTTGATTTATTTTATTTTAACAAACACCATATGCATACTTTTTTTAGCTGCAAATCCTAGTCAAATCCCACAAACAGCTAGTAGACGTAAAATATGGGGAATAGTTGGAATTGTCAGGCTACTGTCGTGTCCTTACTTGATTGTCATAGATGATGCTGAAAAGGTTGGCACAGTAGCTAATCAAAATATATTCAAAATTCTGGCCACACATATAATACCTTACACGAGGTCTATGCTTCATCTGGATGAAAAACAAATTCGCAATAATGAGTTTTACTTGGAAATGGTGAAATCTATCTTAAATACTCCTCACTTTTACTTTAGTTATACATATGACTTGAGCCATACAATGCAGAGGCTTCACAACACACCACCAGAATTTATTCAAGTAAATATATAATAATACTTGTATCTTACTTTAATCACAATGACTGATTGGATAAATAGGATCTACAAATTTTTAGATGCCATTACACGATAGAGCAGATCCACGGTTTATTTGGAATTCTTATTTGCTTCAAGATCTCGTAGCAAGACCTGAACATCATAAATTTTGTCTTCCAATTATTCATGGCTGTATCCTTTTTTAATGAAAATCTACATATTATTAGGAATAAATTTTCAACGTGATATTTCTTAACCCAAGAATTTTAGTTTTATCACTAAACACTGTAGTTGTAAATGGTATTTCATTTAATTGGGGTATTATATCTCGACGCTCAGTTCACAGAGCAGGAACAAGATTATTTTCTCGTGGTATAGATGCTAATGGTAATGTTTCAAATTTCGTTGAAACAGAGCAAATTGTAGAAGCCAATGGAAGTAAAAGTTCATTCGTTCAAACTCGCGGGTCCATACCATTGTTTTGGCAGCAAACTCCAAACTTGAAGTACAAACCAAAGCCGGTTTTAGCTTCTAACGAAAGCCACTTGATAGCTTGTGCCAGGCACTTTGAGAGTCAAATATTTCATTATGGAAAGCAAATACTAATCAACTTGGTAATGTACTATTAGATCTTAATGGTTCCAAGTTAATTTTCATGTTAAATAGTCATTAAATATTATTCTCACGATAGATTGACCACAAAGGTGCTGAAGCAACTTTGGAAAAAGCGTACAGAGATATTGTGCAAGAACTAAAAAATCAAAACATAAAGTATGAAGCCTTTGACTTTCATGCTGAATGTGGAAAAATGCAATGGCACAGATTAGAAATTTTAATGGCTCGTCTTGCTCATGATCAAGAACAAATGGGATACTTTTTATTGACGCGAGATAACGTTTTGTTGTCCGTACAAGATGGCATTTTCAGAACCAATTGTATTGATTGTTTAGACAGAACCAATGTAGTACAAAGTATGTTGGCCAAGAGAGTTCTTACCGATACATTATCTAAACTAGAGATATCACGAAATATGGCTGAACATCCATCACTTGAATACCTATTTAAGCAGGTATTTTTGGAAAAAACCACAAGTTCAAAATATTCTTAAACCAATTAATTTTGATTGCTCTTTCTTTCTAGGTATGGGCAGATAATGCCGATATCATAAGTATTCAATACTCTGGAACAAGTGCTTTGAAAACTGATTTCACACGAACAGGGAAACGCACTAAAATGGGTGCCATTAAAGATGGTGTAAATTCCTTGACTAGATATTACAAAAATAACTTTACAGATGGCTTTCGACAGGTTGGTAAAAATAAGAAACATTTGTCCTCTTCACGTGATTTTATTCATATTTTTAATTTTAGGATGCTATATCTTTATTTTTGGGACGTTATATAGTACAAGACGGGGAGTGTTTAACCGTGACATGTCCATTAGAGTCGGAAAGAAACTGGCGTTACGTTACGTTCCCACTAGTACTTTTGGTTGCATCAGTAATGTTTGTAGCTCATATAATACTGCCTTCAAAATATAGTACAGAAACTCTTCTTTACATGCTTTTTTGGGCAGCAATGGTGGCTGGTACTTTTGCAACAATTATTCATCATGGCAAGCAATATGTTAATAAACCCAAACTTTCGTAATTTGACTATAGAAGATATTTAATATTATATCTCAAAATTAAATATATATTTATTTCACAAGTAATTGCATTATTATTATTATTACTACTACTAAAACTATGACATGTTGCAAAAGCACATGTGTACGACTTAATTTAAATTAAGAATACCGAAAATTTTAATAGATAATATTTTATTAAACATGGTATACATAAATGTTATTGGTAAAATTCGGATAGATATGTTACAATTCGTTACTTAAAAAAAAACCGATTGGTCATCATTGCGAAAAATATAAATTTTATTAAACACACATTGCAAATTGAAATAGATTACGTGTTGAATATTTATCACTGACCAAAATAATTGTTTGCAAGCATGAGCACGCACTCTTGTTCACAAAATTTTTGAATGTATGTACAATCACTGAGTCGTGGGTGGCGATCCTCCTGAGTCATATAAACTTTTGTTTCGTAAGAGGTAAGACGCTAAGTAATTAATTGGATCTGGTGGTCGTTCCTTAGCTAATTTAGAAAGTGCCTGCAGCAAGATGGGTACTACTGTTTGGTCTAAATATTGACGTGGAGGTAATGACTGAATTTCCACTCGTGACTTTTTGGGTGGGGCAGAACACAGCTCCGGATCTTTATCCATTATTATTGCTTTCTGAAAATAGAGAAAAATATATTTGCTGAAAATAATATATACAAAATATTCCTAATTTAAAGTCTTTGCAACGTAATAGGTTATCTTACCTGAGTGACATCTGGCAAAACGTTGACTATACTCGTAGTGGATCCAGTATCGTCCTTGAATTCTGTCGTGTTCTCTGCAAAATTTAATTAAATACTTAATTATACTTTTAAAGACACCAAAGAAAACCAGTACATAACTATAATCGTAATCTTACCACCAACTGACGCCATTACGTAAACAAAATTTTGACAAACTATATTCCTAAAAGTTCTTTGCTTCACACTTTGTTTACTGTAAAAAAAAAAAAAAAAAAAAGGATATATATAGGAATGTTTCTTAATAAATAATTTTGGCTGATTATGACAAACTAGAAAAAAAAAACTTTAAGTACGATGAACTAATTCAATAATCATGTTAGAACAAACGATGAGAAGTTTATTTACTTTAATGCGAATAAAAAGATACGTACCTACCTGCTTGCCTACTCGTCTTTGTGTTTACCGTTAACAGTTACGACATTATTGATATACTAATTAAGTATTTATCCGAAACGATTTACAGCACAGATTCAAGATTCACACGTAAAAGTAAGCATACAATCAATTTGTCCATAAATACTAACACATTGTAATATTTACACACAATTGTGTATTATACCTTTATACCAAAACCACAAAACCATAAACCACATTCAATCTTAGAGCATATACTTAATATATACCTGGAGGGAGCATACGATGCTTCGGCCGCGAGACTATTAGCAAAGAGAGAATTTCTCTCTCTTACACTCCGATGATTGGCTAGCCTCCTTCCGTGTATATAGTTATAGTCGTCTCTATATGTTTAAAGGCGTTTGCTTTGCCGTTTGGTTTATTCGTTTATTGCGCGTTTCCGCGTTTGCGTTTCTCAAAACTCAAAATCAGCCACGTTAGATGGCGCTGATTAAAATGGCTGACTTGGCTGACGACTCGGGGCGGCCGCGGCCGATGCGAAGCTACAGTTGTTCTACCCACGGTAGACGTCGACGTCGCGCCCATATTGCATGTGAAAAGCTAATCACTCATGGTTTAACCTCTTTTGGTCGTTGTTAAGGGGAAAGTGGTTAAACTGACACTTTTTTATTTAAAGGTACTTGTATTTTGCTACACTGAAGAGCAGAGTTATTAGTGAATTGGATGTTTTTAGTTTTTACGTTCCTATAAGTCACGTATGCGTAAGCTTGAGCATAGAGTTAATCGATGCTTTCAGATTTTACGTGCCCGTAAGCTGACGTGGCTGTAAGTAAGCAACTTATCTGTAACCTGACGTCTTTTGAAGATTGCGTGTCCGTAAGCTTATGCGTGCCTATAAGAGAACATGTGTGTGTATGAAAGCACAATTTTTATTTTTACTTGTCTGATACATAAATAAATACTTATGTATCAGGGTGAGATTACATGGAGTCTGGCAGTCTGCAGACTGGCAGAATCGCGCTAAGTTTAAATTATGTTTAAATTATAACATCTCAGAATAATTTAGTAAAATAAAGAAAAAATTGTAATTATTGTCATAACCGAATAAAGGCTTAGTTACAATCAATTTCATTTACAATAAAACGTGTCAAATATTATTTTATAACTTTTTTTATAGATTTATGTTAACATCGCACAGACGGTCAGTAGGGTCACTGATGTAACCTGGTATGTATAACAATATGTAACTGTGACAAAACGTTTTTCGTTGCCTTTTTTTTCATAAATATTAGTTAATACAGAAATGCAAATGTATTACGATAATTATTTCTTTGCTTACGTAACAGGTTTTAAACATTAATATTGAAACATATTTTAAACTTGGCGCGATTCTACCAGTCTGCAGACTGCCAGACTCCATGTAGTTGTAGTCTCACCCTCAGAGTGCTGCAGCCAAACGCATGCGCGCTAACTCAAAACGAACGCTCGTGCACTCGGTGCAGCACTCGTACGCTCGTGCGTTCGTTCGTTTCCGTCCCGCTTCAATAGACGCCCAGGCGAGAGTACTAGTGCGAACTTCACTTTACGTGGACATACTTCATTTGAAAAAGTAGAGTTTTTCTTTAAAATTCCTAACCTTATATCCACGTAATTACGTGGATTTGGTGTGAATAGACACAGCGATTAAAATAAGGACATTTTATACTGCATTTAGTGAGTACTCGGTTCCCACAAGTAAGTATGGCACGAATTCCTGTGGCCACTGAAGATATCGTTGTTGACAATACCTGTCTTCCATTTCCATCCGAGCTCTTGCACACGTGAACATACCCGTTGATCGCTGTAACATTCAGTGTTTTCTTTCCAGTACTTGATTTAGAAGCATTTTTTATGCTATTTAATTGCGACATTAACTTTTTAACATGATGTCGATACTTGGTACAACAATCAATTGGTGATCAACCGTGTGTAGGTGCTAATAGAACACTAAAACTAATCCATTTAATTTTGTTTGTATTGTATTTTTACAGATTAACTAAAAATGAGTCGCTTTTTTGCCACTGGCTCAGACTCTGAGTCTGACTCCTCCAGCGAGGAGGAACAGATTGTACGCCAACCAGCAGCTCCTTTCACTGTAAGTTTTTTACATCATTTTTTATGCTACAATCACTACTATCAGTATGTAAATATTAACAAAAAATATCATTACAGTATAGTGATGATGAGGAAGAAACAAAGAGAGTGGTTAGATCCACCAAAGAAAAAAGGTATGAGGAGCTCACGAATTTGATCAAATTGATCAGAAATTATAAAAAGATCAAGGATATGAGCTGCATGCTAAGTTCCTTTGAGGATTTGGTAAGAGCTTATCAAAAGGCTTTGCCTGTTATTTCAAAAGAAGAAAGTGGAAACACTCCTCGATTCTTTGTGCGATGTTTGGTTGAGATGGAAGACTTTATAAACGAAGTTTGGGAGGATAGAGAAGGTCGTAAAAATATGTCCAAAAATAATTCCAAGTCTTTGGCTTCTTTGCGTCAAAAACTGAGAAAGCACAATAAAGACTATGAGGAAGAAATTACCAAGTTCCGTGAAAATCCAGATCAAGAAGATGATGAAGAAGAAAAGGGTATGAACGTATTTTCCTATTAATGGTTGTCAATTACCTGTTGAGATTTTCTAAGAGACTAGTAACTTTTTTTAGCCGAAGAACCAGATTCTGATAATGAAAAAGAGCGTGTTCCTGATAAAAAGCAAGATGTAGGTGCTCCAGATGTTTCGAAATTCAAGGTATGTACATGATCCTTCTCTTGTCAAAGTTTTGTAATTTTTGAATTTACTAGAAAATTATTTTCATATGGTTCTGATAGAAAGGAGCAGATGATGGCGGCAGTGATAGCGATTCAGACTGGGGAAGCGATTCTGATAGTGACAGCGCTAGCAGCACAGATGACGATAAACCTCAGCAATATGGTGCAGATTATTTTAGAAAAACCCATAAAGATGGTGATGATGAACAAAAGCAGGTAAAAAAAGAGCACCGTAAAGATCGCAAGGAGAAGGATAGGAAGAAGAAGCGCGAAGAAGACGATGGTGAAGGAGAATGGGAAACAGTCAGAGGTGGAGTTGCTATGCCTTCGGAGAAGCCAAAAATGTTTGCCAAGGATGCTGAGATCAATATTCCTGCTGTATTGAAGAAATTGAATGAAATTATGGCGGCTCGTGGCAAAAAAAGAACCGACAGGAGAGAACAAATTGAATTACTACACGAATTGCAATTAATTTCTGATGCCCACAATCTTGGCCCTGCAATGTCCGTTAAAATTAAATTTTCTATCGTTTCTTCACTATTTGATTACAACCCTAAAGTGTCCGATGCAATGAAGCCTGAATACTGGTCCAAGTAATAACATTGATCATAAATTCTTTAGAATAATATCTAAACATTGTTTGTCATGTGTACATTAATTTTCATGTTTTAGACTTTTGGATCGCATCACGGAAATGTTGAATTTGATACTGGCTACACCAGATATGATTATTGCTGATTCCGTTCCTGAAGATGAAGAAGAATTTGAGAAGCTTCCCTACAAGATACACGGCTGTGCACTCACATTAGTTGAAAGATTAGACGAGGAATTCACTAAGCTTTTGAAAGAATGCGATCCTCACAGCAATGAATATGTTGAAAGGTACGTCAGGAATATTTAAATCTTGTACTTTAGAGATATTGAATTTTAATTAATTTGCTACAGGCTGAAGGATGAAAAAATGGTGTCTGCAACTATAGATAAAGTGCAAGAATACTTGGAAAGAAAAGGTACTGTGTCTGAGCTGTGTCGTGTCTACCTACGCAAAATTGAACATCTCTACTATAAATTTGATCCTACTGTTTTGAAGCAAAAAGAGGTAAATAATTTCATTCATGTCAAGAGTTTTTTTTTCTAGTTGACAAAATTAACATTTTATTGAATTTTCAGGGTGAGCTTGGACCTGAAGTCGTTACCTCAGTGCAAGTTATGGAAAAACTCTGCAAATATATTTATGCACATGATGAAATAGATCGGCTCAGAACAAGAGCGATCCTGTCACACATTTATCATCATGCATTGCACGACAATTGGTTTCAAGCTCGTGATCTTATACTTATGTCCCATTTGCAAGAAACAATTCAGCATTCAGACCCCTCTACACAGGCAATACTTCATTTAATAATGCTTATTAAACTCTTGACTTATCATTAAATATCGAGTTCGCTCACATAAAATTACTTTTAGATTTTGTACAACCGCACCATCGCTCATCTTGGATTGTGTGCATTCCGCCATGCAAATATTAAAGATGCCCATGGTTGTCTTTTAGATTTGATGATGACAGGCAAAGTAAAAGAGCTTTTGGCCCAAGGTTTGCTTCCTCAAAGGCAGCACGAGCGTAGCAAAGAACAAGAAAAAATTGAGAAGCAGCGTCAAATGCCCTTCCATATGCACATTAATCTTGAATTGCTCGAGTGCGTATATCTTGTTTCAGCAATGCTTATTGAAATCCCGTACATGGCTGGTATGTATTAAAAAATTTTTACACTACTCTTTTTCGAAATTCCTTTTATTAAAATTATTTTAATACTTGTAGCTCATGAATTCGATGCCAGAAGAAGAATGATTTCCAAGACATTCTACCAGCAGCTCAGATCTAGTGAACGTCAGTCGCTAGTTGGTCCTCCTGAATCAATGAGAGAACATGTTGTTGCAGCATCGAAAGCTATGCGCAATGGAAATTGGCAAGCTTGCAATAATTTTATCATTAACGAAAAGATGAACGCTAAAGTATGCTTTTAATTCATGAAAAATAATACAATTAAAATTTATTAGAAATTAATTGATTTTTTTAATTTTTGAGGTTTGGGATTTGTTCTATCAAGCTGATAAAGTAAGAGCTATGCTTACAAAGCTAATCAAGGAAGAAGCTTTGAGAACTTATCTTTTTACATATTCTCATGTTTATGACTCAATATCCATGCCAACTTTAGCTGATATGTTCCAACTGGATAAATCTATCGTCCATTCCATTATTAGTAAAATGATCATCAACGAAGAACTTATGGTAATTATTATTATTACAATTACAATTTGTAATTTTATGAAAAACCATTTTTTTTTTTTTTAAGGCATCACTGGACGATCCAACAGTTACTGTGGTAATGCACCGCAGTGAACCGAGCCGCTTACAATCATTGGCATTACAACTAACAGATAAAGTAAACAACTTTGTTGATTCAAATGAGCGCATCTTTGAAATGAAATCAGGTAGGTGAAAGCAATAATCGATCGGAACATTTTTTTGAATGTGTGAGCTTATTGATGATGAATTTTGCAGGAAACTTCTTCCCAAGAGGCAATCAAGGTAACTTCCGCGATCGTCAAAATTATAACAGACAAGGACAGGACTGGAACCGTCAAAAACGTGATCAACGGAACCGTGACGAGAATCGCAATTACTAAATTTTACTAGTAAAAAAGAATAAACAACATGTGTACATTTTTACTCAATTAAAAAAATTTAGTAACTATCATAATGTTTTATTTTACAGCACAAATCTGTTTAAACTTACTATAACGTATTGAAAGGATGCTGGTGTCAGTTTTTCTTGATAAATAAATTATATACATTTATAATACAAATTTTACACGATAATTACATTAGTTGTAATAATGCACACCAATCATACATTTTGCAAGCTTTCGATGATTTTACTTCCTGTTAGAATACAGTCTGAAGTCAATACCAACTTGATTCCAGCTGCTTTTTCTATAAGCCTACAAGCAGATATTTCACTGACAGTTATTCCACCAACTACACAAATTACTACAGTTGGCGGATGAATTGGTCCTTGGATTCCAGTAGAAAAAGATCCTGCCAGGTTACTTAGTTCTTCAAAGCTTTTATGATCGGTTATTTGTGAATTGACGGTACTTAAAATTTGAGCCTAAAAGTTGTAATTTCGATTGTCATTTTTAATATCCTGAGTTAAAAAAAAAATTATGATAAAATAATCCCTTACTATTAATGGTATATAAGATCCACTGAAAACGTAACTTGGACACGTCGGTCCTTTCAAATCAATGGGTTTTGATGGACTAGGAAGTAATTTAAGACGTTTCGCATTAGCTGTCCATTTGCTTGTCCAGTTTGGTAATTTTTTCAGAACATTTTCAGTTTTAATGTTCAAAAGTCCTGCAGTTTCCATTTTATAAAAAAGAGGTATATGTTGATACCCATTTAAATGTAAATGAGCTTTTTGTAACGGCAATATTTCATTGTTAGTTACACCGTCACTTGTTATTGACAGTAACGAAAAAAGTCTAAGACTTTGATTTGGGTTATCATCTAAATGAAAAAAAAAAAAACCAAAAATTATTTTTCATCTTTTTGCCTCATTCACAAGTATTTTCATTTACCAATGTTTTTTAAAATATAATCTAAACATTCAGATCTTCTATTACATTCGAGAATTGAAATTTCAATGGAATGTAATTCTTCAAATTTAGAAGCAAGGGCATTTACCGCAGCTTCACATGCAGAAATATGAAATTCAAGCTGTTGTTTGGTTTTCGTTGTTTTTTGCAAACTAGTTTGAATGTAATNCAAGTTCCGTGAAAATCCAGATCAAGAAGATGATGAAGAAGAAAAGGGTATGAACGTATTTTCCTATTAATGGTTGTCAATTACCTGTTGAGATTTTCTAAGAGACTAGTAACTTTTTTTAGCCGAAGAACCAGATTCTGATAATGAAAAAGAGCGTGTTCCTGATAAAAAGCAAGATGTAGGTGCTCCAGATGTTTCGAAATTCAAGGTATGTACATGATCCTTCTCTTGTCAAAGTTTTGTAATTTTTGAATTTACTAGAAAATTATTTTCATATGGTTCTGATAGAAAGGAGCAGATGATGGCGGCAGTGATAGCGATTCAGACTGGGGAAGCGATTCTGATAGTGACAGCGCTAGCAGCACAGATGACGATAAACCTCAGCAATATGGTGCAGATTATTTTAGAAAAACCCATAAAGATGGTGATGATGAACAAAAGCAGGTAAAAAAAGAGCACCGTAAAGATCGCAAGGAGAAGGATAGGAAGAAGAAGCGCGAAGAAGACGATGGTGAAGGAGAATGGGAAACAGTCAGAGGTGGAGTTGCTATGCCTTCGGAGAAGCCAAAAATGTTTGCCAAGGATGCTGAGATCAATATTCCTGCTGTATTGAAGAAATTGAATGAAATTATGGCGGCTCGTGGCAAAAAAAGAACCGACAGGAGAGAACAAATTGAATTACTACACGAATTGCAATTAATTTCTGATGCCCACAATCTTGGCCCTGCAATGTCCGTTAAAATTAAATTTTCTATCGTTTCTTCACTATTTGATTACAACCCTAAAGTGTCCGATGCAATGAAGCCTGAATACTGGTCCAAGTAATAACATTGATCATAAATTCTTTAGAATAATATCTAAACATTGTTTGTCATGTGTACATTAATTTTCATGTTTTAGACTTTTGGATCGCATCACGGAAATGTTGAATTTGATACTGGCTACACCAGATATGATTATTGCTGATTCCGTTCCTGAAGATGAAGAAGAATTTGAGAAGCTTCCCTACAAGATACACGGCTGTGCACTCACATTAGTTGAAAGATTAGACGAGGAATTCACTAAGCTTTTGAAAGAATGCGATCCTCACAGCAATGAATATGTTGAAAGGTACGTCAGGAATATTTAAATCTTGTACTTTAGAGATATTGAATTTTAATTAATTTGCTACAGGCTGAAGGATGAAAAAATGGTGTCTGCAACTATAGATAAAGTGCAAGAATACTTGGAAAGAAAAGGTACTGTGTCTGAGCTGTGTCGTGTCTACCTACGCAAAATTGAACATCTCTACTATAAATTTGATCCTACTGTTTTGAAGCAAAAAGAGGTAAATAATTTCATTCATGTCAAGAGTTTTTTTTTCTAGTTGACAAAATTAACATTTTATTGAATTTTCAGGGTGAGCTTGGACCTGAAGTCGTTACCTCAGTGCAAGTTATGGAAAAACTCTGCAAATATATTTATGCACATGATGAAATAGATCGGCTCAGAACAAGAGCGATCCTGTCACACATTTATCATCATGCATTGCACGACAATTGGTTTCAAGCTCGTGATCTTATACTTATGTCCCATTTGCAAGAAACAATTCAGCATTCAGACCCCTCTACACAGGCAATACTTCATTTAATAATGCTTATTAAACTCTTGACTTATCATTAAATATCGAGTTCGCTCACATAAAATTACTTTTAGATTTTGTACAACCGCACCATCGCTCATCTTGGATTGTGTGCATTCCGCCATGCAAATATTAAAGATGCCCATGGTTGTCTTTTAGATTTGATGATGACAGGCAAAGTAAAAGAGCTTTTGGCCCAAGGTTTGCTTCCTCAAAGGCAGCACGAGCGTAGCAAAGAACAAGAAAAAATTGAGAAGCAGCGTCAAATGCCCTTCCATATGCACATTAATCTTGAATTGCTCGAGTGCGTATATCTTGTTTCAGCAATGCTTATTGAAATCCCGTACATGGCTGGTATGTATTAAAAAATTTTTACACTACTCTTTTTCGAAATTCCTTTTATTAAAATTATTTTAATACTTGTAGCTCATGAATTCGATGCCAGAAGAAGAATGATTTCCAAGACATTCTACCAGCAGCTCAGATCTAGTGAACGTCAGTCGCTAGTTGGTCCTCCTGAATCAATGAGAGAACATGTTGTTGCAGCATCGAAAGCTATGCGCAATGGAAATTGGCAAGCTTGCAATAATTTTATCATTAACGAAAAGATGAACGCTAAAGTATGCTTTTAATTCATGAAAAATAATACAATTAAAATTTATTAGAAATTAATTGATTTTTTTAATTTTTGAGGTTTGGGATTTGTTCTATCAAGCTGATAAAGTAAGAGCTATGCTTACAAAGCTAATCAAGGAAGAAGCTTTGAGAACTTATCTTTTTACATATTCTCATGTTTATGACTCAATATCCATGCCAACTTTAGCTGATATGTTCCAACTGGATAAATCTATCGTCCATTCCATTATTAGTAAAATGATCATCAACGAAGAACTTATGGTAATTATTATTATTACAATTACAATTTGTAATTTTATGAAAAACCATTTTTTTTTTTTTTAAGGCATCACTGGACGATCCAACAGTTACTGTGGTAATGCACCGCAGTGAACCGAGCCGCTTACAATCATTGGCATTACAACTAACAGATAAAGTAAACAACTTTGTTGATTCAAATGAGCGCATCTTTGAAATGAAATCAGGTAGGTGAAAGCAATAATCGATCGGAACATTTTTTTGAATGTGTGAGCTTATTGATGATGAATTTTGCAGGAAACTTCTTCCCAAGAGGCAATCAAGGTAACTTCCGCGATCGTCAAAATTATAACAGACAAGGACAGGACTGGAACCGTCAAAAACGTGATCAACGGAACCGTGACGAGAATCGCAATTACTAAATTTTACTAGTAAAAAAGAATAAACAACATGTGTACATTTTTACTCAATTAAAAAAATTTAGTAACTATCATAATGTTTTATTTTACAGCACAAATCTGTTTAAACTTACTATAACGTATTGAAAGGATGCTGGTGTCAGTTTTTCTTGATAAATAAATTATATACATTTATAATACAAATTTTACACGATAATTACATTAGTTGTAATAATGCACACCAATCATACATTTTGCAAGCTTTCGATGATTTTACTTCCTGTTAGAATACAGTCTGAAGTCAATACCAACTTGATTCCAGCTGCTTTTTCTATAAGCCTACAAGCAGATATTTCACTGACAGTTATTCCACCAACTACACAAATTACTACAGTTGGCGGATGAATTGGTCCTTGGATTCCAGTAGAAAAAGATCCTGCCAGGTTACTTAGTTCTTCAAAGCTTTTATGATCGGTTATTTGTGAATTGACGGTACTTAAAATTTGAGCCTAAAAGTTGTAATTTCGATTGTCATTTTTAATATCCTGAGTTAAAAAAAAAATTATGATAAAATAATCCCTTACTATTAATGGTATATAAGATCCACTGAAAACGTAACTTGGACACGTCGGTCCTTTCAAATCAATGGGTTTTGATGGACTAGGAAGTAATTTAAGACGTTTCGCATTAGCTGTCCATTTGCTTGTCCAGTTTGGTAATTTTTTCAGAACATTTTCAGTTTTAATGTTCAAAAGTCCTGCAGTTTCCATTTTATAAAAAAGAGGTATATGTTGATACCCATTTAAATGTAAATGAGCTTTTTGTAACGGCAATATTTCATTGTTAGTTACACCGTCACTTGTTATTGACAGTAACGAAAAAAGTCTAAGACTTTGATTTGGGTTATCATCTAAATGAAAAAAAAAAAAACCAAAAATTATTTTTCATCTTTTTGCCTCATTCACAAGTATTTTCATTTACCAATGTTTTTTAAAATATAATCTAAACATTCAGATCTTCTATTACATTCGAGAATTGAAATTTCAATGGAATGTAATTCTTCAAATTTAGAAGCAAGGGCATTTACCGCAGCTTCACATGCAGAAATATGAAATTCAAGCTGTTGTTTGGTTTTCGTTGTTTTTTGCAAACTAGTTTGAATGTAATGTTTCATTTCTGCTAATTGCATTGATTGCATTGCCTCTTGTTCAGCTATAATGTAATTAAGGAAATAAGAAAAAAAATTAGTCATAAATACAATAAATTATCTTATAATACGAGTTGAAGTTGCACTTGGCAGTACATTTAAGAGATTTTGCTTTTGTACGCAAAGTTGGAAAAGCATCACTAAAGTGTTTATCCCTGACTTCGGCATAAACTTCATCTTTCCTGGGATCTAACTTTGTCTGCATTTTATCTAAAGATGCCGAGTCTATATTTATTTCAACAACTTCACTTAGCAGTCCTAAGTAAGTCACTGGAGTAAGTAAAGTTGAAACATAATCATGATTTCTATCCATTAATATAAAGGCACCGATTTCTTGTTGTTTACTTGGTGCACCCAAAGATTCATCTATGGACGAGATCATTTTTAAAATTTGTTGACTATGTTTTCCTAAGGCAAATGTGAAATTTGGAGCTCCAAGGATCATTCTCAATGTCCATAAATTTCTGGCCAAGGATGGAAGTAAGCCTGTATCCTTGTGGTAAAATAAATCGGTAAACATTGGTATTTCAAGAGATAAGACATTTCCATCACTTTTTATAAATTCCCAAGCTAGTGGTCTCATTGTTACCAATCCAGACAGTCCTGAACGTGTATGTAATTATATTAAACGAACATAAAGTATGTTTATGTGTTACAGCAAAATTTCTTACCATTTTCTTCAAGAAGATTGTCCAATGCAATTGGTACCAGTGGTGCTATCAACATATGATGACAAAGACCTGGTGTTTGAGATAGCTCAGATCTAATTTGGTCAAAAGCATTTTGACATGCCACTAAATCACACCTAATAATGTAAATTCTTTGAACATTGGATGGTTTCAAGCCTTGAGCAAACCTGAATATCTTGTCAACTCCATATTTCCTGTAATTTATTAAAAATGTCTAATGTAACAAAATAAAAAATTTTTATAATCACGAGTTAATATACTTTTGAGTTGACTACTTCAAAACGGATACTCCAATGAAAGAATCGAGTATTTTCATAAGCTTTTGTTCTATTACGAGATCTTTCTTTCCAGGTATAGCATCCAAAATTTCTACCAGCTTTCTTTGGCTTATTTGTTGAAGTGCACTTAAATGATCGTCTAGTGTTACATCCATTGCGTAATTTGTCTCATTCAGATTGTAATTAAAAACCAACTTATCCTTATCACATTCCAGGAATAATAAAGATAAATTGTTAAATTATATCATTAAGATAAAACAAGTCTCTGCTGTCAGCATCAGCTGCGCGACTGATGACGTGATGACAGATTACCGACAGAGATTAGTAGAGAATCGAACATAACCTGTGTGCCCAAGCCACACACAAAAAACAACAATCAAAGACAAATGGTTGTAGTAAAAACTTTGTTTTATAAGAGGTGAGTTATTGATATCCAATAAATTTTGTTTCTTTACTTTTTACGGAAAATGTCAATTGCAGGTACAATACATAATTTACAAGTGTTATAAGTAAAGAATTTGTGCATCAGCTGATGTCATGAGTGACCTCACAGTGTATCCTTTTTTTTACAACATCAACATGGTTATTTTCATCGTGACAACAGTAAAAAACCTTACATAAGTTATCAGTGATTTATGCATTCCATTTCCAAGTGAGAGAGAAGCAGATGTTGCCTATCAAACTCTGAGGGTGGATTCAGAACCCTTGAGAGGTGGTGTTAAAAAGACACTTACACTTGACAATAATACAATCAAAGTGTAAGCCTCTTTATCATACATTAAAAACATCATTTAATAAGAAAAATTTTTTTTTTTTTCATAGATTTTTTACACTTGTTGCAGGAAATTTTCTGCAACAGAGGCAAGGAAAATCAGAGTAGGTTTAACATCATTTTTTGATTCCTTACTTTTGGTAACTGAAACCATGTTAAAGTTTGGGCCACCTGGAGAAACTTATGAACATTATTGATTGTTTAAGTTGTAAATAAAAATATCTTCCATATAAATCATGTCTGAACACACGCCGGCACCAAGTATTCATAGATCAGTCTATGGATTTGCCTTGTACATAGGATCAAATATGTTATTGTTGTTGTATCTGGTGTGGGCTTTTATACCTGTTGAATTTTTACAAGAAAATCTGGGTCTCTCCTACTGGCCTTCCAAGTACTGGGCTGTGGCTCTTCCCATTTGGATTTTAACGGCTATTGCTGTGTTTGCTTTCGCCATTTACCCAGCTATCAATATGATTTTGACCCCCAACATCGATGATCCCAGAACCATCACTGACGAATACTGTCTGGAAAAGCGAAAGAGTATTCCCGGTGGTATACCACCAGTTTCTGACATTCCGATCCCCGAAGTTAGTCGAAAATTATACTTACAGAATCATGAAATAAAGTCGTAATTAAAAAAATTGTTTTTTTTTTTTTTTCTATTCATCCGATTCCAAATCCGTTTTCAATTCAAATCGAGCGCGTAAAAAAGTAAGTCACGTTTCTCTCGCCCCCATTTTCAAATGGCGCTGTTGATCAGTCGCCGTCATCGGTAATTATTGTGCTAGTAGCAGTCAACACTTTTGGTTTGTAACAATTATTTTTTGGAATAAACAACTAAGAAATAAATAACAATGGCCAATGTAGCTGGACCGCTTTTGGCGCCTATGAATCCGGTAGATTCTATGATGCCCGACTGGGTCAACGCAGAACATAGTACTGGTGTAAGTCGACAATTTTTTAGCAAATCGTTCTTTCATCATTTATTGGTTAGAATGACTGTGCATCCTTCAAATTTAATGAAATGTTTTTTTTCGATCGACTTGACGATTTTGAAAATATTGTTGGAAAAAAGAAAAAAAAATTAACTCTAACTCTTTTCGATAGACCTCAATCATGGCTTGTGAATTTGACGGTGGAGTTGTTATTGGAGCTGACTCTCGCTCATCAACTGGGTACTTGAAATTATTTTGTAAAATACTTTGTTGGATAATTGATTTCATTATTGATGTCGATTTTTTTTCAGAACATACGTTGCTAATCGTGTTGCTGACAAACTGACACGAGTAACAGATTACATCTACTGCTGTAGATCTGGATCCTCGGCAGATACACAAGCAATTTCAGACATTGTGAATTACCATTTGGCGTTTCACAGGTAACGAGTTAACATCAAATGTATCAATATTAATAATTATTAGAATTTTTGTAATTTTCGATTCATGACTTGCAATTAGGATGGAATTAGGATCAGAGCCCAGGGTGGAGACTGCAGCAAGCGTATTTAGGGAATTGTGCTACAATTACCGTGACACTTTGACAGCCGGTATAATAGTAGCTGGTTGGGATTCTGTAAAAGGTGGTCAAGTATATACCGTGCCTCTTGGTGGCATGTGCACGCGCATGCCTGTCTCCATTGGTGGATCAGGATCAACTTATGTTTTTGGCTACGTTGATTCCAACTATAAACCTGGAATGACCAAGGACGAATGCTTGCAGCTTGTTTCCAACAGTAAGTTGACGAATCGTTTTCTTGTACTAAACGATAATTTTGCTCAACTGATGATTATGTACAATTTTGTTTTCTGTAGCATTGGCCCTTGCCATGTCGCGTGATGGAAGCAGCGGTGGCGTCATCCGACTAGGTGTCATCACCAAAAACGGCATTCAGCGCCAAGTCATCAGGGGAGATCAATTACCCAAGTTTTACGAAGGTTAAATTTAGTATTTTCAATTATTTGGATGTTGAAGAAAACAAAAAAAACTTATGGCGATTCAAGACACGTTTTGCTAATATATTGTTTAATTTTTCATATGAATAAAAAAATTAATGAATAAACGTTTTCCAAGAGAAGCAAAGATTGCTGCTATTTGGCGAGCCATCCAGTTCTCCAAAGAGCGTCCCATTGAGAGTACTCTCGAAATAACGGTACAGTTTAAATGACGGTGCTAGTTTGAAATTACGACAATCCCCGGTGAGAGGGTTTTTTCGATATCCTCCTTCCGTCTACTTTGTCTTGCAAATTGGTTATTATTGTTGTCCTTGATTCACAGACACGATGGAATAAAAAAAAAAAAAAAAATCAATGGGGCGTCAAGCAATGCAAAGAAGAGATGGATAGAGAAAAAAAAAAAAAAAACAAGAGTCAAGTAAGCTCTCGCTCGCGTGAAGCGCGCACAAACGTAACACACAAAGAGGAGCTCAGCTGCGACGCGGTCCTCAAATTTAGGTCGCATTAACCACTTGGCCGCGACTGATGGACCTGCAGAGACCAGAGGAGCGCCAGCGGGCTCTTTGGTTCGCGGTCCATTGTCGGATTTAACGAGACAATCGCTGCCCGATGATACACGCGAGCAAAGGACCACCTAAGTGTACACGCGACCAGCACAACGAGCGCCTCTCGAGACGCTACTGCACGAGCTTTTTTTCGTACAGCTTCACAACTATACTCGCGGTCGTCGTTTTTGCACCTCTGCGGCCTCCACCATCGCCAACGTCAATCACTACAGTATTTTTTTTAGCGTTTACAGTGTTTTTTTGTGTTGTTTTTGTTTTTTTTCACTCTAAACCCGCATAAAAGGTACGCCTCTATTTTCCTACAGTTTCTAATACTCGTTAAGTTAAGCTGTACGCGCACTCGAAGCGCGATCAATTATTACCTAGTGGTGTCCAATAATTGTAGATTAGCTCCTATTCGACGTACATACCCTCGCAAAAATCGGTATTGTCGCATTGTAATTACACACACGCAATATATACATATATATGAACTATCAAAAGGAAAAGGACATGAAGTCCCTGAGCGGGGGCGACGAGATACCGAGCGTCGAGGAGGTGATAAGCTCGATGCAGAACTTCGGGTGGCCGGATTACGGGATATTCGTGTCGATGTTGCTGGCGTGCGGCCTGATCGGCGTGTACTTTGGCTTCGTGAGGCGTTCGAAGGGGGAGGACGAGTACCTCGTGGGCGGGCGCAACATGAGGACCTTTCCCGTGAGCATGAGCCTTATAGCGAGCTTCATATCGGGAATCTCGTTGCTGGGCACCCCGACCGAGATATACGTGCACGGCACGAGTTACCTGTGCATCGGCCTCGGAGTCGTCATGGTCGGTTTCATCATGTCAAACGTCTATCTGCCCGTTTTCCACGAGCTCAGGCTTACCAGCACCTACGAGTACTTGGAGAGGCGCTTCGACAAGAGGATCCGCATACTCGGCTCCGTGCTCTTTGCCATCGGCATTGTAAACAATTTTAACATATTATGTCGATTGCCAACGTCGTGTGTGACAGAGAAATTTGATTTTTTTTTTTTTTTCTCAGATCACCTGGCTACCGATCGTCATCTACGTACCCGCGCTAGCTTTCAATCAAGGTAGGATACGTATGTGTACATGTTATACATTTATCCATTCATACGCGCATATGTACATTTTATATACCTCCCTGCGCACTTGCTCCGGAAAATTTATTGTGTATTATGTCATCATCCCGGAGAGTATCGCGATATTATATTGTCATTGTTACATTACAATAACTGTGCCATTCTTTCCTTGTTACCGGGCCATTTTGATGCCATTGAGGAATTTTGTCTACAATGTATACATATGTATGTATCATAAGTTTTGTTTGTTTTTTGCCATATCCACTTGGTAAGTGTACCTACTTATCATTGTTCCTTTTATTCTCATGCCGATTGTATCATTCATCATTTCAGTAGATCGGTTCCGAGTTTAGTCAGCCATCGTCGGATGTTCCATGTCGATTTGTTTATCGTTAGCTACATGTAATTATAATAATAACCATAGAGTAGATTTCCTGATTTAAAGACAAATTCCGTCACACGTACGTTCACCCGCGAACACAGTACTGGATGAAACAAAAAAAAAAAAAAAAAAAAAAAAGAAATTCAATATTTCAGTGACTGGCGTGAGCACAATGCACACCATACCGTTCGTCTGTATCGTCTGTATTTTCTACACGTGCGTGGTACGTATACATATATGTGCCATTATATTGTTATAATCATCGAACGTATATCAATGATAGTCGATAACATTTGTTGTACCCACACGTATATCAGGGAGGACTGCGAGCCGTCGTGGTGGCCGACGTCGTGCAAATATTCATAATGTTCGGAGCGATGATTCTGATCGTGGTTAAAGGCACCGCGGACGTGGGCGGCTTGTCCGTCGTCATACGCCGAAACCTAGACTCCGGCAGATTGGAACTTCCCACGTGAGTGTGCACGACCTTCACTCGTGTATATAAATATTTTTTTATGAATAACTATGTACTACCGTGCGTTGTTGAAAAAAAAAAATAAATAAACAAAAACCAAATTGTCCATTCAGCACAGACTGGAGTCCCCTGACGCGCCACACGGTGTGGTCCCTCGTGATCGGCGGATGCGTCCATTGGCTTCAAATATCGGCCATCAATCAGAACATGATTCAAAGGTACCTCTCGCTGCCGACCCTCAAACACGCCAGAAGGTATATATTGTAATTCCCCACCCCCCTCTCTCTCTTTCTCTCTCTCTCCTTGAATGTGAAAAGCACCCGTGACACGTTGATCCTCAAACTTTGACGCAAAGGGCCCTTTGGTCCTTCATTTTCGGCACTCTGTCGCTGGTTGGCATTTGCGGTTACGCCGGTATGCTGGTCTACGCCTGGTACCACGAGTGCGACCCCCTCACAACGAAAGTACGTCCATATACACGTACACCCTAAAATAAAAACGTTACATCGTCCATACATAAAAATTTTCCAATCAGCTCGCCAGAGCCAAGGACCAACTGCTGCCCCTACTCATGATGAACATCCTCCAGGACTTTCCAGGCTTACCTGGTCTCTTTGTCGCTGGCGTCTTCAGCGCGGCTCTCAGGTCACTTTTTTTTTTTTTTTAAATTTCTTATATTTTCACCTTCCGCGAACAATCGTACGAGTTTTCCTATAACAAGTGCAGTTCCCTGTCGACGGGCTTGAACTCGATGGCCGCGGTGATCCTCGAGGACTTCATAAAGCCCTTTCGCTCGAAGCCCTTGGCCCCTAAAAGCGTCGATCGCCTCATGAAACTGAGCGTCCTCGTGCTGGGCGTCGTCTGCTCCAGCCTTGTTCTTGTCGTCGAAAAAGCCGGCTCGCACGTGTTACAGGTATACACACACACCTATTGTCATTATTATTGTTATTTGCTACACCCCCCATAGCGATCATGATGATGTGTGGTTTGTTCGTATATAGCTGTCGTTTAGCCTGAGCGCCATAACGAGCGGTCCTTCCCTGGGCATCTTCAGCATGGGCGTCCTCGTGCCTTGGATCAACGCCAACGTGAGTCCATACATCTCAAAGATTAAACGGCGATTGGTGCGTGTACCATATTGTGCCGTGTGTTTTGTTTTTTTGTTTTTTTTTTTCAGGGCGCGCTGATAGGCGGCTGCTCGGGACTCGCGTTCATGAGCTGGTTGAGCTTGTCCGCCGAGGCGGCGATAGCGGCCGGCGTGATCCGGCACGGCGTCAAGCCGGTGAGCGTCGAGGGATGCACGTACTCCTTCCAACGGTCCGAGAACCTGCTGCTCCTCGTTCCCCCGGAGACTCTTCTGGACGAACCCGTCGGAGGGTACGTTATAGGCTGCGCGCAATACACACGCACACCCTAAGCATGTACAAATATTGAGGGAAAAAAAAAAAAGAAAAAAACAAATAAATAAACAAAACAACATACGTAACTTGTTTTAGCGAACCGTGGGCACTGCACCGCTTGAGTTATCTTTGGTACACGGTAGCGGGAACTCTCGTTACGATGAGCATTGGTCTGCTGGTTAGTCTCGTTACTTCCAATAACGTTGAAAAACTCGACTCGGCACTCGTCGCGCCTTTCGTACGCAAATACCTTGCCCGTCCGAGCTTGCCGTCTTTTCAAGTTGAGGTACGTACTTTTTTTTTTTTTTATCCAGCAACTTTTGTATTTTACTATTATTTTTTATCATTACTACAGGAGGTAAAATCAAAGACGGATCAAGCTGACGTGCCGCCGAAGCACTTCGGTAACAATACACTTGACAATGAAGCCACAAATGCCATGTCGTCTCTGTGATCTAAGGTTTCTTTGTTTATTGTTTTATCTCAAACGTTTCTGTTTTTTATTAATTGTAATTTTACATTCTCTTTTTCTTTTTTTTTTTTTCGTACTCCTGAAATAATATGACATATATATTTATCATGAACAAACTTTCAATGGATTAATCAACAAAGTTTTATTGATAACAAGTATTTACGTGTACATAGAGTAAGAGTCACGCTTTAGAGAGTAAATGTAAAAAAAATGTAATTAAACAACATAATATATCTAGGCGTGTCCTTAATATAATGTTATTTTTGACGATTGTAGTGTCATAGAGTAATAAGTGTATGAGACATGATGATAAGTATTCAATATAATTAACAGTATCCCTTTCCCACGATAAGTAATTATTTATGAAAATACTTGTGTACAAACCATGTATTTATCGTCGTACGTTCGCAAAAATATCTTTTAGGCTCTGTTTTATTTAATATTGTGATGTATGCGCGCATGCAATGTATATAACTGATTGACGATTTGTACAGGTACTTTAAAGTATACATACTACTTGTTTGAAACTATATATTATAGTTACGTCAGTGAAAAAAGGTATGGATTATTAAAAATACAATAGATTTCTTGGTGTGATGTCGATGTGGCGTATTATGTACATAAATTGGATTTGTAAACGTTATCAAAAATTTTCTCTTGCAATTTGAAAAAATAAAATCAAGTAAACTTGATCTATTTTATGTATTATTTACAGTCATGAGATATATTATACTATGATTGTTATTATTGTTATATGTTGTACTAAAATATGTTAATTAAATCCTTAAACAGATATTATTTAAAATGAAATTGCAAAAATTACACTTCACAATTAAAATGGATATTCATTTTTTTCTTCTTCTTTTTTGTTTTAGATGAAAAAATAATTGTTTCATTTCAGCAAGTTCCACCTGCCGTTGTACATTATTTCGAAACCTGTTCTTTTCTCCACGAAACCGTGCGGATGTACACAGATTTGGAGGAAAAAAAAAAAAAAAAAAAAAAAAAAAAATCCCATTACCGGNAACCGAAATTGTTCGTTTTTACCGCGTGTCGTTTGAAGAGCCGATTAATTTAGTTTGATCGACGAGTCGTCCAAGCTATATACTAATTTGTCCCATATGGGTGTGTACCTATATGGTACGTATAGAAAAAAAAAAAAAAAAAAAAAAAGGAAAGACTCTGGAGGAAAAAAAAAAAAAAAAAAAAAAAAAAAAAAAAAAAAATCCCATTACCGAACGGCGGCGCGGGTTATGATTTTCACGAGCAAGTAGAGGCCAATCAGCTGAGTCAGCCTGCGTATCCAATAAAGCCTGGAAATGATAAATCGGAAATATCATGAATGACGAAAAACAAAAACCAAGAATAACAATCGTAAAGAGGAGTAGGGGGTGACGCACTTGAGGAGCTTACTCCGAGCGCCGTCGAGGCTGTCGGGGCCGTCTTTGAGCACGTACTTCCTGATCCCCAGGACGTATTGGTTGACGTAGAGCTCCCAGTCCATGTTGGTGATGTCGACGTTGAAACGCGGCGCGCCACCGTCCACGGTCGAGCTCTTGATGGACTTGGTGAGCTCCTTCATGTTCTCCGCGTGAAAGTACCACTCGTTGTTGGCGAAAAATTCCCCCGACTTGGTGGCCCGTATCGTGCGCTTTGTTATCTTGACCATTCTATACGTATGAATGAACAAGAAGAGCGATGGAAGGAAGAGGAAAAAAAAAAAAAAAAAAAAAAAAAAAAAAAAAAAAAAAAAAAGAAAAAAAAAATCGAAAATCGGTAAAGTGGTAAACGTACTGTGGTTTGTTGCCGCTGCAGCGCAAAACGAGATCAAAGACGAAAGCCGGCAAAAAGTGCAGGACCCCGAGGGCTATCTTGTGAAGAAGCTGGCTCGAGCGGTAGGTCACGTGGGGGTACCACATGACGTACTTGCTCGGCGACTGGATGGCGTATTTGCGCGTCAGGCCGCCGATCTCTCCCCACCTGCAATGCCACGCGCGTCGCTATACGATTGTCTGCCATGCAAAGCTACTCAAATGATAATAATGATGTAAAAACTCGCTTGATGGGGTTGAAGCTGCCACTGGTGCAGTTGTAGACTCGAAAGGAGCAGCTGTCGCCGGTACGGGTCGTCGAGACGTGCCAGGCCGCGCAGATGAGGGTGTCGACGACGTAATCGACCGGCACAACGTCCACGACGCACTGGGGCTGGCAAAATATGCTACGGACGGTCCCTCGGCCGATTTCCATGAGGATACCTGCACGGATAATGTCGATTCCTTTCACCCAATATGATTCGATGAAGAAAAAAAAAAAGAAAAAAAGAAAAAGCTTCCTCGAAAATTGAAAGAAAATGTATTTTGTCGAAGCACACCGAGAGAGGTATTTAAGATACCATTCGGAACATTAATAGAATTAGTCGTACGAACCAGTGATGCCGCATACGTTGTCGATCCAGCCGGGAAAGGGTTCCTGAAAGGCGGCGCACACGATACTCGGTCTGACGATCGCCACCGCCGGCAAGCCCATGCTCTTGGTGAGGACAACCTGCTCCGCGAGGCCCTTTGTCAGCGTGTACGTGTTTGGGTGCTTGCCCATCAGCTTCTTCTCCAGGACGCTCATCGTCTCGTCGTCCAGATTCTCGCACATGTCCATCATCGTTTGTGGCTTCACTTTCGTGCTTTCGTTGTATCGTCATTTTCGGATGAATATCGTGCAATTCAAAAATCGTTGTTTTGGAATTCATCGTCGCAGCGAGCCGCGTCCACGTATAACGATAATATTTGAATTTTTAAAAAGTCGTGCGTGCAATTACCTCGATAACAGGATGTACGTATATTGTGTGTGCGTGTTAATTATTGCGTAAAAGGCACGTCGGTGCATCGCGATGAAGGAAAAAGGCTGAAAATTCCTCAGTCCAGTGTATTCATACGATAAACATGTGTGTGCGCAATATCGCAAATCACCCGAAAACAAATTTGTTTTTCCCCTTTGCCACCAACTCTGACTCGATTGGCGCAAAAAAAAAACAAACAAACTATATCTTCACCGGCGAAAAGAAAAGAAAGGAAAAGAAAAAAAGGTTGAAAATGTCCCAAAAAAAGGAATGTTGATAGCCTCTCTGTGCGTATATTTGTATACAATAAGCACGATTGTCCCCTTACCTGTAGACCATCTCTTGTATGTCCCGAAGATCGGCGTTGCTGTAGGCGGTGCTGACGTGCACGAGGCAGACGAGTTTGACCATGCCCTTGCAAAGATCGACGACGCGATCGGTACCGCGGGTGTTGAGGTTGACGGCCGCCTTGATCGGCTCGTCGAAGCGCACGGTCGCCGCGCTGTGAAAAACCAAGCTCACGCGTTGCATCAGCATGTGCCGGTCCTCGAGGCTCAGCCCGAGCTCGGGCAGGCCCACGTCACCCTTGACCGGCCGCAGTTTGCCCAACACGCTCGGCGACTCCCAACGCAGCCGATCGAACACCTGCAGCCGATCATCCCCCCCCCCCAATTAAACATTGTACAAAAATCACAGTGCAAACGATTCATGCGTATCGGTATGGGTGATATTGACCGGTGACTCGAGGAGGTCGCCGAAGCGCTGCTCCATGCTGCGGCCCCGCTTGGGCCGTATGAGGACGAAAATGGCCCCGACCCCGGGACAAGAGCGCAGCAGCTTTTCGAGGAGGGCCTTGCCCAGGAAACCCGTGGCCCCCGTCACCAGGACCACGCTGTCCGAGTAAAACACCTCGACGGCCGAGCCGCTCGCCCCTCCCGGCTTGAGAGCTCCGGCCTTGGCTCTGCCCTTGTCTTCCGGTCTGTTGTTGTTGTTGTTGTCGCTGCGCTTCTCCGCGTCCGACTCGCAAGTCTGGGCGTTGGGCGTACCCATGGTGGACACGGTGTGTCGTTTGCTCAACTCTGCTTTCGACGGTTCGCGAGCCAAATGGCTTTTGTGCTGGTGCTGGGGGAAAAAAAAAAAAAAACACCCAACCGAGGTACTGAAATTCGCAATTACCGAGGACGGAGATAAAGAGTCAATATAATGGCATGCGCATACGTAATGTTTATAAGCGTGCTGTCGTCACGTCGTTAGTGGGAATTTTTGATGATAAGCGCCGCTCGGTGGGAAGGAAACTTTTTTTTTTTTTTCGATAATTCACGCATGGTATGGAGAAAAAAGAAAAAAATTTCCTCCGCATTTGTGCGCTGCACTGGATTTTAGCCATCACCTTTATTGTGCAATGGATCTACAAATGTGAGGGGAAGGGGATGGCAGAGATTTTACTTGTGCCATATAAAAAAAGTGTCAAGTGCGGTTGGGAAAATCAGTGTCGGTCAGGTATAGTACAGGGGGGCATTGGGTGCCATATTTGTGCGATGTTTTTTGTGTTACACTCGGAAATCGAAAAGTAAAAATTACCGGATCGCCACAGTCTCGTGGATTCACTTTTGGTACATTACTTCCGCGTGTATATACCAAAAATCCTGTGATGAAAAAAAAAAAAAAAAAAAAAAAAAAAAAGAATCAGGCTTGACTCATTGTGTACACCTCGATAGCGCGGCGTGCATGGGCCACGTTGGAGGCAACAGCGGACGTGCATATATACGCGACCTCGTTCGCAATCACAATCGATATGGTTTCCGCGTCGTCTTCTACGCGTCGTTCGATTTCCGCGAAACCAAGTGTCCGCGCACAACAGGTGCACCTCGAACTATCCCTTTTCCTCGACTGCTTTTACATTTTTTTATACTATTATTTTCAACCAATTACACTCATCGCGAGAGGGCCCAACATAAATGTTGGCGCGCGATATTTTTTTTTTTTAAACAACGTTACGTTCGCTGTGCTTTTTGACCACTTCTTTTTCTTCTTCTTCTTCTTGCCTCCGATTGATCGGCACTACTGCGCGGAGCGGCTGTTCATAAGGGCTGCTATAGACCGCGATGTCGTGCATGTGTATATACCATAAACGTACACTTATTTTATAGAGTCACCCACACACAAAAAAAACAATACATATATAGCACGTGTCCGAGTTTACAATATGTGTGTAGCTGTTTTTTTTATATGGACACGTGTATATTATACATATGTATGTGTGCGCTCCACTATTATTATCGTATCGGAGTATGGGGTGAACAAAAACAATAGTAATTCAAGGGAGGACGTAACGATCAATTTTTATCCCCACTCCACCTCGAAATGTCAAACTATACGGGGGTAAAAGTTATATTATTGTACATTGGGAGGGCGCGTACACAAATGATGATGCGCTGTTTGCACGCCAAGTACTTATCCACAAATCCATACACGTGTACAATAGAAATATATACAACGGCGACTAACGAGTGCGTAATTACATACCGATCGTTAATATAAATGACGTTGGTTTTCCAAAGAAGAAAAAAACGGCCAACCGAAATTGTTCGTTTTTACCGCGTGTCGTTTGAAGAGCCGATTAATTTAGTTTGATCGACGAGTCGTCCAAGCTATATACTAATTTGTCCCATATGGGTGTGTACCTATATGGTACGTATAGAAAAAAAAAAAAAAAAAAAAAAAGGAAAGACTCACCCGTCACTGGTAAACTGCCGTGGTGTATTCCACAGCCGCGGGAGTAACGAACGCCCGGCGCGCGACTGGAATCACCAATCGAAGAGTCTGCGAACCGTTGGACGATGTAGTTCTAATTTTTTTGCCAAAACCACGCAACCGATCGCACCGAGAGGAAACAAGGATAAGGAGAGGGGGTGGGGGGGGTATGAGGAAGATACGGCAAACAAGAGGCGCGTCGGGAGCGTCTCGCGCCTCGGTCCGCGGGAAACGGTGTGCTCCGAGATGCAGCCTCGGCCCCGAGAAAAAGGTGTTATTATGCAAGTGTGCATGCACGCGGGCTATGGAGGTCGGGCCGCCTCCTTGCACCCGGAAACACTTTCATCCTGCGCTCCCCCGGCCCAACGTCGCTCGGCAAGGTGAGAGTTGTTTCTTGCCGGATAAAAGTGAGAGTACGTACTATACACACACCTCGCCGCGCGTCGTACGTTTTATACATGCATGTATAAATATATTGTGTGCACTGCAAAACTCCGCGCGCGATAACATTGTCTTACGTTTTACCGCTGCACGTACACATGATTATTATCATTATTGTGTATGCGCCATCGAGATGATTGGAGTATGCGCCTTTTGGGACGAGACATTGTTGGGTGTTTTCTATAGAAATAAATAAAAAAAAAATAAAAAAAAAATAAAAAAAAAGTAGCGGAGCTTGCAAGCTCGCCAATGGAATTGCATTTTGGCAACAATTGCCAAAAATATATTATGTATATATTACGTGTATCGAGCGGGTAAAAGGTGTTTGGCTCGAGCGTAAAGATTTTTACGATTTTCACCAGAGAAAGGAAGCGATACGCACTTGCAACGCGTAACTTTTACGTTTTACGTAAGCGATCCGGATGAAAAAACAAACCACAAATGAAATGCAAGACCCATAAACGTCAGCATTTTTGCCGTATGGGTTATTTACATTTATCGACAGAAAAATATCTTATGAAATAAAAAATAAAAAAAAAAAAAAAAAGGAGCTCGTTTCATTTGATGGAATAAAAGGGATGTACGTGTATCTGTGTACAACCAAAGGCTGGATGATACCGTACACACAGCCGGTCAAGATTAAAAAGAAGAAAAAACATAAAGGCCTGTACGGTTACCTGTAATCCCATGGTTTAGTGCCTCGCATATTGGTTTCCGGATATCAAACGTGGACCTCGATGTATATATATATATAACTGTTTGTGTATACGTACGTGTACACGCAGCCCCGCGCCTTGCCATAAGTGGTGTACGTGCGATGGAAAGTTTTCAGGACGATGTGTATAAGGGAAGACGGGCCGATTGCACTTGAGCCCAGATGATTGTTACAGTTGAGCCCGTCGAAACGTAATATTATCTATTTCATAGATACTCGTTTTACATCAGAGCCGTTAATAAGATTGATGTATACCTACATGTGTACATGTATGAATATACAAACAAAGTTATATAGAGAATAAATAGTTACGCGGCTTAGTCGAATCACAGAACGAATGCGCGACCAAATTACCATTGTTCGTAAATAACATCAGTTGCGTATTGACGTCGCGTGAATAAACATCGTATTGTGTCTATCGCGGCAATTGTTTACAATACACGTCATCTCGCACGGCAAATACATTCCTGTAGTGTTTTGTCTATTATACCAGACAAAGAGCAGTGCACGTACGAGATCATTTTTAATCACATCATCAAGAAGTGCAAGGATCTTCAGTTGGAATTTGATCCCTTGCGCATTGTCGTGGATTTGGAAGTTGGTACATATACATAATGCTGCTCGAAACGCGTGGCTCGCAGTGACTATATAGAAGGATGCCGATTTCACGTCACGCAATCGTGGACAAGAAAAATCCAGACTCTTGGTAAACTGTGTATTAAAACAAATAAGGCCTAATATTGCATTAGCGACTCTAATTTGGAATAAATTTAATAATCTGCAGGTCTCTCGACTATGTAACGTGATGACAAAATCGGAGGCGGGGTTTTGGTCTACCGTTTCTCGATCAACGCGAAATCGAGACAGCTTTTATTGATGTTTTGATGACTCGTGCTTCGGAAGTATTGTAATTCGAGAGATTGGCACTTTCCTCATATAATTAGCAGAAACATATTTAGAAGCATCCGCGTTGTATCCTCCCAAATTATGGGCATCTGCGAACATTACCACGGAACGAACTACAAATGCATGCGAGTCATTTCACTCGCATTTTAATGACATGTTTTACAACGAACATCCAAATATTTTTCTCTTTTCCGATACTTTACTAGAGCAAATTCATCTAGATACTTTCATCTTTTGGTGGGCTCAACTGCCACTTTTTTCTGTCATTCTTATCAGTAGATGGGCTCAAGTGCATAGCGCCCGGGAAGACATGGTAACGACGCAGCTGTTGGCTAATTTTTTCTTTTTCTTTTTTTTTTTTACTCGTTTTTTTTTTTTTCCAGTTCACTCTTCATTTTCCAAAGTCTTTGCGAGAGAGAGAGAGAGAGAAGGAGAAACTTTTCTCGTTACGGAGCTCCGAGAGAATCGGAAGGAAGCAACAGGTACGTACACTCTATTCTCATTCTCGCAGTAAAATCACTCGGACTCGCGCGCGGGCTTCTCTTTGTCAAGTATAATTGCTGATGTGTATACACCTCCACGTTTTTTCTCCTACTGAATTATGTAGGTATACGAGCGGCAAATTTTCTTCTTCTTCCATTTTGTGGGTGATTATTATGTCGCTTGACAATTAATGAAAGTATACGGCCAACTTTTGCGAAAAATGTTAACGTATACTCTTTTTGGTATATTTTCATACGTTTGTCACATATTAGGTTCCCCGCATAAGTTGCGATCGTTTGAGGATGTAAAAATATATCCAACGAAATAATATATAAACAAAAAAAAAAAAAAAANACTGATAATATTTAAGTGGGTTATTTCCCGAATTAATTTTTTTTTTTTTCACACTCGTCTCGCTATATTATACTTAATCGCCGAAATATGTAATCGATTGAACGATCCGACCGACCAATCCGGTATATATACACATCAAAGTAAGTTATTGACCTACTACTCAATAAACAAATTTTTTTTAACGAAACAACATAATTTTTACCAACAAACTGGATAATCGCTTACACGATAAGCGGTATGTAATAGTTATACGACAGAAACTCCTACAAATAACGTACCAAAATGTCGTTGTCTATTTTCATAATATCATCAGCCATACAGTACGCACTATTCATAGCATACAACTTGTGGACTAATCCGCAACCTACGACACTAGTTGTTCTTTTATTTTCGTCGAGATGAGAATTTATACGTTTTACATATACCTTG